ACACCTTTGTTTACCAAAAAGTAGAGAAGGGAACTAGGGGATCAGCCATATTGGTCCTAATTCTCACTAACACAGATGAAATGATAGATGCTGTTGAAGCCACAGGAACATTGGGGGGGGAGTGATCACGCAATATTGGAGTTCAACATTATGCAAGCATAAGCAATAGAACACAGTCAAACTAGAGTCTTGGACTTTAAGAGAGCTAATTTCAATAAACTTAGAGAGAGATTAGGAAGGATTCCATGGATGAGAATCCTCAAGGGGAAAACAACTCAAGAAGCTTGGGAAATTTTGAAAAGTGAACTTATAAAAGCCCAATCTAGCACAATATCAACGAAGAAAAAAAAATAATAGCTCTCAAAAGAAACCAGCATGGCTGCATAAAGAACTCTCTGATAAATTGAAAGACAGAAAGGACAAGTATAAAAAGTGGAAAGAGGGGTACATAATTAAGGCAGAATATCAGCAAATAGCCTGAGCCTGCAAAGAGGAAAACTAAGGCTCAAAATGAACTAAGGCTTGCGACAAAAGTCAAAAATAATCAAAAAAAAGCTTCTTTCAACATGTGAAAAAACAACAAAAAGGTTAAGGAAATGATTGGTCCAATAGTGGGAAAAAGTGAAGAAGGTGACAAGCAACAGGGAGAAAGCAGAACTATTCAACTCGTTTTTGCATCCGTCTTTACACAAAGAGAAAAAACAGTCCAACCTATAAAAAACAGTACCGTAAAAAACAGATTAGAAAAACAAATTAAGATAGGCAAGAAAATGGTAAGTGAGTACCTGTCCACCCTAGATGAGTTCAAATCACCAGGACCAGATGGATTACACCCCAAGGTTCTGAAGGAATTGGCAGATGTGATCTCAGAACCACTAAACTATATCTTTCAAAAATCCTGGAGCACTGGGAAACTACCAGAAGACTGATGTAGTTCCCATCTTCAAAAAAGGGAAAAAATAGATCCAGAAAATTGCAGACCTATCAGCCTGACCTCAATACCTGGGAAGATTCTGGAAAAGATAATCAAGCAATGAATCAGCAAACACCTAGAGGCAAACAAAGTCATTACCAAAAGCCAACATGGGTTTGTCAAAAACAGATCATGCCAGACAAATATTATTGCATTATTTTCCAGGTGACAAAATTAGTGGACCAGAAGAATGCTGTGGATAAAATTTACTTGGACTTCAGTAAGGCATTTGATAAAGTAGACTACAACCTACTACTTGATAAGATAGAAAAATATGGGTTAGACAGCATCACCACCAGATGAATTTGTAGCTGGCTGACTGGCCCTACTCAGCATGTGGTCCTCAATGGAACTACATCTACATGGAGGGAAATGTGTAGTGGGGTGCCCCAGGGCTCTGTTCTGAGTCCAGTACTCTTCAACATCTTCCTCAATTATTTGGATGAGGGGCTAGATGGGGAACTCATCAAATTTGCAGATGACACTAAGCTGGCAGGAATAGCCAACACTCCAGAAGATAGGCTTAAGATACAGAAGGTCTTGACAGACTTGAACATTGGGGGCTATCTAACAAAATGAAATTTAATTGTGAAAAAAGTAAGGTTTTACATTTAGGCAAGAAAAACCAAATGTACAGGTACAGTATAGGTGGTACCTTGCTCAATAGTAGTAACTGTGAGAGGGATCCCAGAGTCCTAGTGGACAATCATTTAAATATGAGCCAGCAGTGTGCTGCAGCTGCCAAAAAAGCCAACAAAGTACTAGGCTGCATTAACAGAGGGATAGAATCAAGATCATGTGAAGTGTTAATACACTTTACAATGTCTTGGTAAGGCCACGCTTGGAATACTGCATCCAGTTTTGGTCACCACAATGTAAAAAAAGATGATGAGACTCTAGAAAGAGTATACAAAAGAGCAACAAAGATGACTAGGGGACTGGAGGCTAAAACATATAAAGAACGGTTGCTGGAATTGAATATGTCTAGTTTAATGAAGATAAGGACGAGGGGGGACATGATAGCAGTGTTCTAATATCTCAGGGGTTGCCACAAAGAAACTATTCTCCAAAGCACCTGAAGGCAGGACAGGAAGCAATGGATGGAAACTAACCAAAGAGAGAAGCAACCTAGAACTAGGGAGAAATTTCCTGATAGTTAGAACAATTAATCAATGGAACAACCTGCCTCCAGAAGTTGTGAATGCTCCAGCAATGGAAGTTTTTAAGAAGAGACTGGACAACCATTTGTCTGACATATTATAGGGTTTCCTGTCTGAGCAGGGGGTTGGACTAGAAGACCTCCAATGTCCCTTCCAACTCTGTTGTTGTTGTTGTTAGGAATGAGAGCTCCATGCCAATTACCAAGCTAGTATTTGGGGAAGGAAATATTTCACAAATTGGTTGTTGTTAAGAATTAACTCAAACTGTTCATATTGAAAAAGAAATACATCAAGCAAACCCACCATTAGGTCTATATAACAAGATTTTTATTTTCCACAGGTATTCACTCTAATTTTTAAGTAGCAAAGGCTACTATTTTTTAAAGTTTAAATTAAAACCAACACTGAGGCTTAACTTAGTGTATTTCATATTAAAACAAGTTAGCGTCCGGGGGGGGGGGGTTAGCTGAGAAGCAAAGTTAAGAAATAACCAAAAAAAGGTCACTACTCAAGTTTATCCCTAAAGACTTGGTATAGGATAGGATAGGATAGGATAGGAAAGGAAAGGAAAGGAAAGGAAAGGAAAGGAAAGGAAAGGAAAGGAAAGGAAAGGAAAGGAAAGGAAAGGAAAGGAAAGATTACATTTTTTAAGCATTCCATTGTATGCACTTATGAAGAAAGTAGCATGTCCTGTTGCATCCTATAATTCACTATCTCAGATAAAAAGATATCTATGGATAATATTTCTCAGCATGGCATTTACGTGAAAACATGCAATTGTGGATAAATTTCTTATCTCTAATGAACCATTGAATCATTAGCACTTTAAGGTTCATTAAAAAAACTGCATATTTCACAGAATATGGAGCTTTTATTCTTTTCATTTGCTTATCAATATTAAGCCAATAAGTTAGAAATAATTATAGATTCTCACTGTTATAGTGATAACAAGTATAATAGTCTTCCAAATTATCATAATACTTCTATTTGGTCTTATAAAAAGATCGATCAGTTTAATGTATATAGAAATATCATTCTATTATTATGCATACTACTTTTCAGAGGAAAAAGGCAAAAATAAACAAGTATTTTTATGTGTATCCTAGAATTTATGAAGATTTGCTTACACAGAACAGTAGAAATAATCCATCATCTTGAATTTGTTTCACTAAGTTATGTTGATGTTGTGACTCCTTAGATATTACCATTATAAATACTGTCACAGCTATTAGCCTGTAGGCAACATATGGTCTAGCAGGCAATTAAGCAGAGATGAGTATTCCTTACATGAACAAGTCATTCAATAAAGAGCCAGACTAGAATCAGCAAAGTATCTCTTGATGCTTGGGCAAATAGTTAGGGTACTGCCTTCCAGTGCTCAGTGAGATTAGTCTAGTAGGGTGATGGCGAACCTTTTAGAGACCAAGTGCCCCAAAACCACCACCACCACCCGTCGCTGCTCCGTCGTGCCCGCTGGACCACCCACCACTTCCATGGCCTGCCACAGATCACCCAGGCAGCCCAGCAATACTATGGTGGCCATGCCCTCCACCCGTACCCTGCAGCATTATCTGCACACGATGGGGTGCAAGGGCAGAGTCTTTCCCTCACTGCCCGATTACCATGTCCTTGGCTGCGCAGCATTTCATGGGCCAGGCCCAGGGGCGACTGTCTCCGGAGGGCTGCTGGTGAGGAGGGGGCCGTGGGAGGAGGCAGGGCTGGGATGACGGTGCATGTGCCCACAGAGAGGGCTCCGAGTGCCTCCTCTGGCACACATGCCATAGGTTCACCACCACTGGTCTAGTAACTCCTCTGTCAAGTATTTACACTGTGATATGCCTCCTCATTTTTGTCTAGCGCCTCCAGATCCTCAACACTATGAAGAATCCACATTAGAGATGTGCAGATTTCAAGCGATGCTTTGCCTGGTTATAGGATTAAGCTAAGCAAAACAGTGTAACCTCCTCCTTGCATTGCACTGCTGTCTGACACCTAAAATATCTGTAATTGCAGCTTGAATCATGCCAGATTTTTTTCATGCTTCCCTCCTCCATTCAGTGGAAATAAAACTCATGGCTCTACATAAAATTAAAGTTACCATGGAAGTTATTTTTAAATGGAAGCCATGCGCATCCAATTGACATTCAGCTGAAACATAACCTGAATTGGCATCCCTCCATATTGTTAAACATAGGAAATACAAAATTATTCCTCAAAAATCATTGCTTTTACTCCAATATGCCAACTCCTAAACCCACCAAAAAGATCTCAGACCAAGATCACAGAAAAGGGATATAATTAGCTTTTCTGTAAATCCATATAATTTTGTATATCTGAAAAATTTCTTCTTAACAAAATAGTTTAAGCATAAGGCAAAGTTCCAATGAGTGCAGTTTGCAATTATAACTTGTTGAGGCTTCAATTAACAGAAGCAATCAAAATACAGTTCCAGCATAAAATTAATTGTAAGCATGCAAAATTAGTTTTATTACACTTTGCGTAAAGAGCACCCAAAAATGAAGGCAAGTATCGGTCCCAGAAGAAGGATTGGCACATTGCACTGCAGCTGTTTAGCTATGTGACTGATACTGTGCTTTGAAATCATGAAATGAAGTTGCTATCAATAACAGACATAATTTAATAAAAGCAGACTGATAAAATGTCCTAGTCAAAAAGATAGAAACAATTTCTAGATAAAATGAAGCAATACAAAGTACATAAATTGCTTCTCTTTCTGGCACAAAAATTGTAAATCTTTTTGATAAGCAACTTTAGAGTGATTAACATTTAGGCATAAAGGTTATTTAATATTTCAGCACAAAAGTAGTTTCCATCAAGGGTATATCAAGTTATAAGATTGTCCTTACCAGTTTTTTTGATGAAGCTGTTCCTTATAGAATAGGACATGCATGAGGACTGCATCTATTTCAGAGCTGCTGTTATGTACACAAACCCAAACAAGAAGGCTGTGCCAAAGAAATTGCTTAATTCTGAATTGCTTTTGTTTGGAATTTAACTCGGTTGCTGAGCTGGCATTCGTGGATGTCTACCAAAAAAAACCAAAAAGTTAAATCCATTAATAAAACATTGCAAATAAAAAATTAATTGGCAACTCTCCTCACAGATTTGCATCTCTTTTTAACTAAAATTTTATTTTAATAGTATTATATTCTCATGCTGAATTCCTCTAATTTCATTTGTGTTGTTTGCATTTTGTTGCTGTTATTGTTTCCTTCAAAAAACAAAGGTCAAAAGAATAAAATATTTCATTTGCTGTAATTCACTATGTTCTTCGATATCAATTTTTCATTGTATTGCATTAATTTTTAAGTAGAAGTATGTGTGAACTCCCCATCTTGCTTCATGACTGGGACCTCTCTGTGGAAGTTTCCCAATACATCTTGTGACAGATTTGTGTGTTTTACCAGCATAGGATAGCATTAACAGAGAAATTAGATTATTATAGTAGAATGAAAATTTCCAACTGGTGTGTATGTGTTTCAAACTACACAGCTTGCAATATCTGCTGGTTCGGATCACTTCTATAGGAATCTAAAAAGTCCCATTAATACTTGGCTTGCACATTTTGAGTGAGTTCTCTTTTCACTACTATCTTATTCTTTTTGATGGCATTGCCCAATATGTTAACTCAGACATACTTTCAATAGAGCCAAAATAGGATGAAAAGAGAGATAGTGGCTATCACTTAAAAAAACACAGAAAGAACACACACACATCTTTTTGATAGCTTTACGTAGTAAAAAGCTATTTAACAATTAGATTAGTGAGATGATGGATGATACCAATTTTCTTTAAATAAAATATTAGAACCTAGAATATTAGCTGATGTAGAAAAAAAGGAAGGCAAAGAGAAGGGGAAAGAAAAGCAACATTCTGTTTAAAACAATGATGAAGCAAACATTGGTCGAATGAGAATGGAAAATAGGATGAGCATGTAAAAAGAAGAGCATCTTTTTCATAAATGTGGTGGGATATGGGGGAACAAGGTACTTTTGCATTGCTCAAGGAAGAAATTTATGAGCAAAACTACAATTTTAGGTTGATACAAGGCTTCTTCATGGTCTAATTGAAGAACCAATTTTTCACAAAGTACTTAAATTGAAAATTTTGATACACATATTTAATATGAGAAGGCTTTACTAAGTACGAATATTTAGCATACAGACAAAAATCTCCTCATAATCACTTGTGCCTGAAGTTTCTACAAGTAGTCTATCCCCATAGCAATCATGTGAGCTGAATAAATAGATAGGTGAAATCCACCGCCATGTTTCAGTTCCATATACAGCCTGCTTTTATAACTCTTTGTTTTTTGTTTCCTTATTTAAACAACTCCCATTCTTTTGGCATAATTTTGAATCTCCCTATAAAAAGTAACAGAGCAGAAAAGATTTCAGGGATATTATTAAGAGACAGCTAAAAATATCAGAATGGTGATTCAATTACTATTACTGGAGCACGGTTTCTACAATATATTAAATTGTTCTGGGCAATAAATTATTCTTCAAACTTTTCAAAATTGCAGAACGCATCTTTGTAACATCTTCCAGGAAGCCAGGAAGGGTAAAATAGAAGCCCTGAGCCATTTAAAATAAAATAGCTTCCAGACCTTGCATCCCTTGAGTTTTCCATTCCAGCTCATGATGAAATATACAGAAGAGGTCTCCAGCTTCTGCACTGCATTAAAGCCTGTGAAATTAGGATACAAATAAGGGCCTCTCTGGAAGCAGGGATGGCACCATTTTGAATCAGCACTGTTATTGAATGTCTCCATGAAGATGTGGGGTTTTAATCAATTAAATGCAAGAGTTAACTATATCAACTACTGCAGTAGGATACATGCAGGTTTGCTTTGTTTCTTCTGTCCTATGGGGTGAAGGGACCTGCACTGGCAGGAACTCATGCTTTGTCCCATTTCCTACATCATAGGAGTCTCCCATCTCCTTCTGAAGCAAAGGCACAATAGTGTCTTACTATAAACTAATGGGAAACTTACTATCTCACAAAAACATTCATTTCTTCTGGAACAGCAGCTAAGCCAAATAAGAATTTATTCTTTGTTTTCTGAATAGCCCTAAGACAAGTGTTCAAGCCGGTCCTAAATAATAAAAAATATAAATAGATATAAATACTGTATTTAGAGAACAGTATATTTTTATTTGATGGTCTGGACATCTGTGACTCTGCATGTTTGAAGTATGCACAGACCTATTATTTTCAATCACAATATATCAGTCATTTCCAAAAAATATAGCTATCATTCATGCAAGATTTTTATCTATTTTTTTTTAAAAAAACTAACAAATTGAAGAATTGTATTTTGAAGTTCAATAGGGCACCTTGCAAAGAAGATTGGAACAGACAATACAGGTTTAGATGGATAACAGTCTAGCCTAGTACTGAAGCTATTCCCTATGTTGCTAATGTATGCCTCATTACTATGACGTCTTTTAAATTTGTTTTATCTGGGCAAAAAGCAATATTCATCATGGCAGCACAGCTGATGAGAAAAACTCTAGCAACCAATATCATGGTTCACTAAAAAAAATCACCCAGGCCACTTCAGGGTGTTGTGGGAGAATATATCTGCAACCATGCAGAATAGCAGACATTGAATCTGTCAGCACTATACAAGTGAAGGGCTGCTGGTTGGCTAAGCAGAACCTGCTGAAATCAAAAACATATGTCACAGCTACAGCAAATGATTTTTAACAGCAAACAATCTCACTAGGCGCTGTAAATCAGGAGTTGTCATCTCCTAAAACAAAACTGGTGCTCTTAATTTAAAACCTGAAGCTTAGACTCTATCTCTGTCTTATTCTTTATCTGTGGCCCTGAGATACCCTTTAGTTTATCCACTGCTTTTATATCAGAGTATATGTCAAGGCTACCTCTCAATTCAAAGGAAAGATTGAACATGGTTATTTGAGGGACTGTCTAACAGTTTCTGCCCACCAAGTAAGATTGGACACTGGCTAACCGTGCTCAAGGTCCCTTCAATTAAACAATATCATCTAATAAGACCAAAGTAACACACCTTCTCCAATATGCTACCTAAAAGACATCTCTCCAGAGATCCATATGGGTCATACCTGCAATTATTCTGAAACTCTTTGAAAACCTGCCTTTGCTTTAAGTCAGTGTTTTAAACTTCACAAACTCTAATGACATTCCTTCTTGGACTGGACCTGTCTTTTATGCCAGACTTAATGGAACAGGTAGACTTGATTGATAAAAGGCAGTCACTCAAACACCCTGATCACATGTTGTGTAGTTCTTTATAGTCACCAGATGACCCACCACCCATTGAGCCATTGTTTTAGAGATATTTCTTGTTACCTAAATAGACAAACAGAAGGACCATGAGCAAAGGAAAAAGCAATGGGAACAGAAGTGATTTCTGACTTTCTGCCAGCTTCCTCCTTGATTTTGCTTGTGGGAAACTGGCAAGGAGCATCAGAAATCACAATAAAAGGACTGCAGCTGACTGTTTGCAAATACAATTTTATGAAGATCCTTCAATTTTAATTCCATGGAACAATAGATCCCCAATTTTGGACATATTCTTTAAGTTAGCCCATTTGAAATAACTTGTTTCAAAAATTGTTGCCTTGTGATGCACCATTGTGGCTTACAGACAGATAATAGAGGTTAAGTAGTATATAGATTACTAGTACTTTGAATTGAAACTGGAAACAAACTGGTAGCCATCCTTGTCATCACATTTTACCCCAGGTGAAGCTTCCGGATGGTCTTTAAGGAAGGCCCTTGTAAAGCTCATTACAGTAATCCATGAAGGAGGTGACCAGGGTATGAGTGACTGACCACAGTCATTCCAGGAATGGGGGAACTGGTAAACAACCTGAAGTTGTGCAAAGGCCCTCCTAGCCACAATTGTCACCTGCTCTTTGAGATGGAATCATGAGCCCAGAAGGTCCCCCAGATTGTGCATCAGATCTGTCTAGGGCAGTGCCACCTTGTCTAGAAACAAATATAGTAAATTTCCAGATCCTGATGGCCCCAAAACCCAAAGCCCCTTAATCTGAAATCTGTTGGTCCCCATACAGATGCCCACAGCCTCCAATAACCAAGTTAGGATGTCAATGTAAGGGCCTACCTCAGCTAAGCTTCCCAAGAAAGAGAACTCTTGAAACAGACATTGTCTCAAAAGGAACTTTTATTAGAGGCTGACAGTAGGGAATCAAGGTGGAATCTGAGAGAAAAACCTGCGAAGCAATATATTAAAAGCAACATTCAATACTCCTCCCCCCAGAGGCTCAGTGTTCGTCTGAATCCCAGCCAATCCACAGGTGGCATCATTTTTTAGTAACTGGTCATTTTGGTGGGCTCCTCAAGGTCTTTCTCACTTTTGATTTCTCCTGGCTCCAAGCAAAAACCATCTCTTAGATAAGGGAGAGACATTCCTTTCCCTGGGGGAATGGTATCCTACAGACAGTGCAAGCAATCCCAAAAGCTCCCCCCTCCCAACAGAACGGCAGGCCACAAAGACAGGCTTCAGAAAAGGAAAAATAGGCATAGGGTTAAAATACATTTCTTTGGGGACCTGACAGTCAACTAATTCCCTAATTCCCATAACACTGTTTTATGTCTAAGTATTTATCCATCTAGTAGGGCTGTATTATATTATCCTTCTCATCTTTCCTTTTACCTTCTATTATTGGTATCTTATGATTATATTACTTCGTTATTTATATGTACATTGAGAGCTTATGCACTAGAGACAAATTCCCTATGTGTCCAATCATACTTGGCCAATAAAGAATATTCTATTCTGCAGAGAAAAACAGCATCACTAACATCACCAGGGTGGAGATATACAACTTGGTAACAACAGCAGGCTGATAGGACGTCACCTCATGGCTATGGTGGTTTCATGTAGATGTTCAGCAGGAGTGGAGAATCCAACCCAACAGCATTCCCCAAAGTCAGGTTCAAGGGCAGGACCTCACACTTCCATTCAACACTGACTGAAACAGTCCATGGAGGAAGAAAGAGAACCAGCACAAAGCAGTGCCACCCACCCCCAACTTCTGCAGCTAGTACAGAAGAATAGCTTGATCAATGGTATGGAAAGTCACCAAGAGATCAAGGATGGATCCTATGAAGCTGCTGCATGACCAATTTCTCAATAACCTTACCTAAAAAAAAAACACTGGATACTGGTCAAAAATTAGCCAGTATATGTTAGTCCAGCTTCTTGAGAAAAAAATAGACCAATGGCTCTTTAAGGGGTAAAGGAACCATACTCTCTCTCAAAGAAGAATTCACCACTCTAAAACTTAACCAAATCACCTCTCAGGAGGCCTTTGCCAGCTAAAAGGGTCATGAAAATAATAAACAAGTAATGAAGATCATAGTTCATCCAGGCCCATCAGTTGCTAAAAATATTTTATCCCACATAAAATGTGGGTTATTTTTTTCTAGTATTTGAGAAGATTCCCTTATGAGCTAGTTTCAGATAAAACAGATCTTTTAATTTCAGGAAATCCAAAGATTTCTTTTCTGAAATTAAAAGATCTATTTTATCTGAAACTAGCTCATTTGAAAGATGTCAAGATTCCCTACACCCAGTGGTGGGATTCAGCCGGTTCGCACCACTTTGGCAGAACCGGTAGCTAATTTTTTGTTGCCCAGGCCCAGAATGGACTTCCGGAAGAGGCATCCACACAGAGAACCAGTTCACATATTTGAATCCCACCACTGCCTACACCACATAGTTTGATTTATAACTTCTATAAAGCATGGCCATTGAGAAAAATGGGGGGAATGCCAAGTTATCACCAGCAGGGAAAGAGAACCTAAAAAGATAACTTTCAACATTTCTTATCATTGACCTTATTGTCTGGAATGGCCAGAAAATATAATCCAAAAGTTCACACTCTCCCATCCCTGATCTATGGTACACTCCAAGCATGACTAGGAGTTATGTAATGTAGTAGCCATATGCACCTGAAGAAGAGCATAGGTTATAGATGCCAGGTCTATCTCAAAAGCAATTTTCCAGAATTTCAGGCAAGAGTTTTTCACAGTTCCACCTTAGTCACTTCCAACTTTTTGTGACTGAAGCGTATCATTCACTGAGATAGTCTATTAGTACTGATTTTTTCAATACTTGTAAGCTCTTGCTTGTGTCATTAGTGACAGCACTCATGATAACATCTAACTAGGTTGACGTCTATTAGCTTCTTTTTCAATTTGATTTTTTCCAAGCATCAATAGCTCTTACCTTATTATATTATATTATATTATATTATATTATATTATATTATATTATTATTTTGTATTGTATTGTATTGTATTGTATTGTATTAATTATATTAATTATATTAATTATATTATATTATATTATATTATATTATATTATATTATATTATATTATATTATATTATATTATATTATTATACACACACACACACATGACATACTCCTGAGAATATTTCAAAGAACCGGGCTTTGATCAGGATAAGCCATATTTCTTTTTAAAAAATGGCCAATCTGCCACTTCAACTCAGCTTTAATAGTTCTCACTGAATTACTAATCATGCTGATTTAATTGTGGTAATGCTGCTTGATGTATTGTATATCAATTATGTGTTACCTACTGTGTCAAGAAGTGGTTTTTCCTCCATTTCTTCTAAATTTTCCTGGGATTCTAATTGTGATTCAGAAACCACTGCTGTTTCACAGATAATTTCTCCAGCCTTCAGTATAAATTGCACCATAAAAAGAATGTTTGGGTAAAGTTGATAGCACATTTCACATGCTGCTAATGCTATGGCACAAACAACAACAACACCGTGTTAGTTTGTCCTGTTGAATTTTAGATAGTATGTAATATCAAACTTCATTATTAAATGAAAAGAATCTTTAGCAAAGAATTTTCCAGAATGGATATATAAATATTGTGTGACCTCTTGTGGATTGACAAAATACTACATACACAATTCTATTGGAAGAATGTATAATCTATATAAGATACACGTCCATTTTCCTTCCTATATTATTGACATATTTTTCATAAACATTCCCTCGATCTTCTTTTTACATCTCTTGGTGCAGAATTTTTTAAAAATCTATTATAGAAAACAATTGGTTTAGGTTGTAATCTTCTCTAATGGATGTCTTTTTATCTGCAATGTTCCCTAATGTATTTTTTTTATACACCTACATTTATAAAAGAACTGCAATCCAATATTTAGGCAAGAACAGAAATGGAGGCGTGGGTGCATGCTGGTTCATATGTAGAAAGTGCAAATTAAATTTGTTTATATTAAATTACAGATCCGAATTACTATCCCTCAATCTCAGTACATAACATTTTTCTCTGGCTATTGTCTTCTTTATTAAATGGAAGGATTCCATGTGCTTCCTCTAAGCAACAGCTGCTAACAATGAAGTAGACAGAACAAGTTGATACTTTAAGCCATCTGCTTAATACAAACTTGCTGTTTTGTGTACATTTCAGTATACAGTAGGTCAATGAATTTCAGTGTCAGCTTTCATCCATCTTAAAAATATTATAAATTAGAACATTTAATGCACAATACAATGTAAAAAAAATAGCTGTCCAATAACATCTAGTGAAGGAACACACCCTTGATCATTTCTGTACTGGCACAAGTGGAACAAGAACCTTCTTTTTAAATAGATTTTTCTATGGCAAAATGCTGCAATATGTAAAGTTTTCTAAAATTATACTTTACAATAAAGATAGCCCAAAACTGTGAATGGTATTTCTAATGAAATGTACGTATTGCTTTTAATTAAATATTTTGTGGACCAAGTTTTTTTCACTGCCATTTTTTCAATCTATATCCAATATTGTATCATAGCAGAGGTCCCCAACCTTGGTAACTTTAAGACTTGTGGACTTCAACTCCCAGAATTCCTCAGCCAGCCAACTTAAAGTTGCCAAGGTTGGAGACCCCTGTATTACAGCATTTCTTGAGAAATATATTGGGGGATGTAATTATCTTTTTATATTGGCTACTGCACATGGAGGAGGGGGATCTTTTAATGAGGGAGATATAAATATATCCTTGATATAGTTTTCAATTGTCTGACTTTATAGTCTTGATTTTGTGAATGAATGTGTGGCCATGACAACCAACAACAGTGGCAAGTTTGCAACACCACTGCAATATTAACAGCACCACCACCGCCCCAGCCTGCTGAGTCACTGTAGGCTATGCGTATATACGCCAAAAATCTGATGTCTGTTAGGGAAATCTTTAGCATTCATTAGAAATACCAGCTTTGTGAGCAAAAACTGATCTGGTGTCGTCAAACGCCATTAGCTGCTCTTTCAGTCACATTAACCAGCATGAAGTTCTCAGATTGTCACATTTACATTTCAGGGAACGCTTAAGAAAATAGTGCAATGCTACATTATTTAACCTGCTGCAGTATCCCTTTCTTGTGGAACATGATAGATCATGGCAGCACAACAAAAAGCCTTCAGGGTAATTCAGGTTGAGCAAATTCTATTTATAATTTGGAACTGATCTTTGTGATAAAACCATATTGTTCCAACAATTATTTTTACTTCCAATGAAAGGTTTATTGGCAAAAACAACTTTATTTCAAACCGCAAAATGAATCCAGACAAGACTGTGGAAAACAACTTCTTCCTACAATTAATTTTAGGAAACCAATTATGATCTTTGTATGAAATCCTCCCACATGCTGTCATAAACATTATTTCTAAAACAGATTAAAAGCAAATTAAAGAAATAAAAGTCCCCAAGAAAGGAAATTAGAATTGGTGGTAATAAACAGAGTGGTGAGTGCCAATATTGTCTTGACCTGCCCCTTTTAAAGAGAACTCCTTTCTGTTAATGCCTATATTCTCTTGAGGTCAAGAATAATCAGATTAACACAGTTTGTGTTTGCCAGCAGAAGAGCAACAAATGAGCAGTGCTGCTCTTTCCTGTCTTTCTCCTCGCTTCACCCCTATGCTTTCCCATGCTTACTGGAAAAGGCTAGGTTGCTTTTGCAAAAAAATTTAACCAATCATTGTAGACAGCTTGTAGAAATAGGCTAAGGATGACATAAAATATAAATATAGGCCAGGTACACTCCCTATGTCAACGGTTGCATGTTCCTACTAAGTAGGCAGGAGTAAATAGAAGATGTCAATCTGGATTTGCCCTCAACTTTCTTTTGATGGTTTTTTTTTGGGGGGGGTAACATAACTAGATTAGTCACAGAAGATTCTAAAGTACTTTACAAATATAGCAAAAATAAACAGATTATTTTTTTTTACCTTTCAAGCCAGTGTTAAGCCTGGATTTGTGTTCTTCGGAAAATCTCTGGTAACCAAATAAATATAGCAGAAGTAGTCTTAAAAAGACTAAAAATCCAAGCTGTCAAAAAAAACAAAACACACAAAGTGTTTATTCTATAACTTTCTGACCATATATTTGTCAGTGTCCCAGTACACTAGTAACATTTTAAAAGTTTTTCCTGATTTAGTAAAATGTCTTTATGTTCAAGGAGTCAGATTCCCCCCATCACTCCCCATTTCAAAATTGTGGCTAGAGAAACCATTATCCTCAGGATATTTTTCCATATATAAGTTGTCAGAAACAATTTAGTAAATATCTATGTATTCAATTACACATTCTCATTTGGCTCACTGTTGTTCTATACTATAACTTTTTAACTAATTATGTTTTAAGTATACTGTTTTAGAACTTTTGTTGACATTTGCTTTGTTTTCAATTATTACCAATTGTTTTTAATTGATTGTGGAGTCTGTTTTTAATACAAAGAAGCAACTCTTTAAACAAACACATTTATATTAATTATTGACCTCAAACCTAGTATTATTATTAAATGACATGTTATTTTATCACTCTTTTGAAATTGTTTTGTAAAATAATACCTCTTCTATTTAATTAAGTTTTTAATTATTCCAACATTTTAGATCAAAATTATGCATCAAAGGTCTTTGAATTGTGGATTTTGTCTTTCTTACTTCTGTCAGACTCCAAAAATCAAGAAAGGCATACTGAGATTCTTCTAAACAGTTCCCTTATTGTTTCTCACCTATAGACAGAAATTTTGCCAAATTAAAGCAGACTAATTTAACTACTAGGAAGAAACTGTCTTCAACCCTTTTTCTCCCACACAAGCTGTGCTGTCTCTTGCTACTTTGGAATGCACTGCCTCCTGTGAATCCAGACAACATTATATCATATCTTCTAAGATCACTCGCTATCTAACAAAGTAGGTGTTGCTTAAAGTTGCCATATAAAGCAGTTATGACAAATATTTAATTCTATATGTTCTACAAAACCGGTAAAATAGAATTATTTTATTATTTATTAAACATATTTATATGACCACCAAACTAACATACTATGTCTCCAGGAGACTTACATTATCTTACAACAGGTAGTGTTGTAGTGTATTTAAAGAGAGGGAAAAGTAAAGAAAATTATCAGAAGTCTCGCTTTAGCACTTCAGACTGTATCATCACAGTATCATACAGATGGTCAGAGGAGAGGAGGGAGACCAAAAGTGAATTGAACTATAAAATTGGCCAAGTAAGACATTGCTCACATTTTGGAACTAGGTTAAAGTCAGCAGCACTGTTTGTTTCATTAGTTCGTATTACCTAGTGCTCACTGGACTGAACATCACTAAACTCTTCAGTTCAGTTCCACTCTTCCAGTTGCCTTGTGAAAAAGCACCTTTGGGGTAACTAAACTCTTCAGCTATCATACAGAGGTGGTGCTGCAGTATTTACAACTCCTGCCTGTGAGGGGGAAAAATGATAGTATCTACCTACTAGTCACCAAGAATTAAATCAGTATATTATCTTTGACAAAGAAACAGCATGTGTTCGGAGTTTTCTCTAAAAATAACTACAAAAAAACAGATGTGATGAGACAAGAGTTAGGCTGCAAAACATTCTGAATTTTTCAGTATCTACCATTCGCCTGCTAACCCAAAATAGAGATTAAAAATGTTTCTCTTTCTTGAGGAATTATACTATTTTGCTTCATTAGCATACTAAACAACCAAGAGGAAGACAAGAATCAGTAATGTCTATGACAGTTGAGTGCCTACATCATCATCATTATAGAAAAGAAAGTGATATAAAAAAGTCAGTAGAAAATGTCAGAATAATTGAGCTCCTCAGAACTGATAGACTTCATTACTTGTCTTCCAAATGAGTCTAAGTGCATATAAGATTGAATACAATGTTTTTAACACTCCAACGGCATAAAAAATAAGCTGATCAAAATTATCTGGACAAAAATATAGATGTTAGTACATGATAGACAAAACAAAGCATCCATTAATGACAGAGCAAATTTGTTGGCTCTTTGTGTTGAAAAAAATATATTATTTACTCTCAGCTTCTAAAGTCAATCCAATTCCTGAGGATTTCTTGGGCATAACTACAATATGTACTTTTATGTATAGGGGAAAAAATGACCATTATCTTTTGGGAATTTTGTTTTCTCTTTCATATCTAGTCTATATAGTTTTAGAATGTCCTAGTGAATTAGCATCCAGGTTCTAAGCTGGTCCATCCCCGCTCAGCCTTTTGAGACCAAGAATGGCTGAGTGCTGCCACCTAGCTGGGTTTCAGGCTCTTCAATAGCATAACTATCCGCAGGCAAGTAATTTTTCTGAATTCATAACTCTTTGGTTATTTGCAAGGTTGATTTTTTTTTATTCTACACCTTTCCCCCCCCCCAATTGTTTCTTTGCGTTCTAGAAAATGAAGTTACATTTTGTGAATTATCTGATGAGTAGTGCAATGCTAATCATGTAGGTTCTGTTCCAATATATATTCAGTTTGATATTCTGTAAATTGTACAATGCTTCATGTTTACTTCCAGTTAAGGCAGTGGTCTAGAAACAGGAAGATTGTGAGTTCTAGTCCTGCCTTAGCCATGAAAACCAACTGAGTGACTTTGGGCCAGTCACTCTCTCTCAGTCAACTACCTCAAGAGCTGTTGTTGTATGGAAAATAGGAGGAGAAAGGAGAATTATGTTTGTTTGCCGCCTTGAGAAACTTATAAAATAATAAAAGCAGGGTTTAAAAAAATCTAATAAAAATAAAACTAATAGCTTATTTGCTAAAGTGAGATGCTCAAAAATATTTAGTAGAAAAATTAGTGAAGTCAAGGTAAAATGAATTATTTAAGAAAGCTTAATAAATGGTAAGAAAAATATATGTGATCAAAGCTCAGAACTACATTATACCATTAAGCAAAATGTCCCCATAAGCCCTTCAATTTTTATGGAAGTTCTATTCAGCTTTAAAAAATAAATGTCTTCATTTGGAAATTTTCTTTTATATGGCATCAATTTCACCCTTGAATATTTAATTCTCTTGCTGCTTCTTTAAGATATGTGACCTAACAAAATATATTATAGCTAATGATATCCACGTGGAAGGATAAAGAGACCTATCACTTAAATACTGAGAAGTTTATTATGCAGGGCAATATTAGTTACTTCTAAGAAAAAAACATTATTTTACAGGATCATTTTAGAATATTTAAAATATGGATTAAGTATAGATTATTTCATAGTTTTATAGACTATTCAAAACCAATGAATTTAGGAAAAAGATGCAAAGTTGATAGTTTAATCCATCTGCTTCATATGGAACCATTTCATTACATACTACTGTTTCAGGTGAGGACACAAAAGAATTTCCAAATATGTAAATGAGAAAGATAGGATCTCAGAGACAGTTTTTTTCAATGTCAGACCTCATCCTATGAAATAATCTCCACCCAGAGATTCAGTCAATTATAATGTTCCCTCTACTTCCCGACTTGTTTGTTTGTAAAACTGTGTATGGCCACCATTCTCTCTCAGTGACTCTGGGCAGCTTACAAAAATAAAAAACCCAATATACAAACAATGATATGTATGGTAAAATTTTGCTTTGTACAACTATTTCCGAAGCAAGCACTAATTTGTGCCCCACAATGTAAGCATGCAAGTAAATTGTAAATATATGGAACAATAACAATTTAAGTTTAATATGTATTTTTCTTGATGTAAATAAACTAGAAAATATAACAGTAGGCCACATACAAATTTAAAAGTTGTGTCCTCAAATCATTTTTAACTCCAGACAACTGCATCCTGCAGGTTTTTTGGCAACCCTTTCAAAAGCAGTTTATTACTGCCCAGGGCTGACAGAATAAGACTAGTTCAAAGTCATTTCAGCTTCCTTTTTTTTTTTTCCTTCTTCACCTCCTTTATCCAAGCCACATTTTTGTACATCTAATGCAGTGGTTCTCAACCTGTGGGTCGGGACCCCATTTGGGGTCGAACGACCATTTCACGGGGGTCGCCAAACAACGCAGTCCGCCATTTTTTTCCCCCTTTTCCTTAGCTGTGCTACTCCCTTTTATTCTATTGGCTTTTGAAAGCCAATAGAATAGACTCTCTTGAATAGAGTCTAATTCTATTGGCTTTCAAAAGCCAATAGGAATTGTCCAGGCTGTCTCTGCCCTGCTGAGCCCGCCAAAAGTCCCATTCTGCAAACCGTGCTGCACCAGTTGAGTAGTCCTCGACTTACGACCGGTTGAGTAGTCCTCGACTTACGACCGGTTGGGGGTCGCGGCATTAAAAAGGTTGAGAACCACTGATCTAATGACTGGAATTGTCCAAGTGTTGAAGTGATTGTTGTTGTTGCCATTATTTGGGGAAATGTAATTTTGCACATGCTTTTTTTTTTTTACTGTGTGTGCAGGTTTGATGGGTGGGTTGGGTACCTATCCTAGCATAATTTTGAAAGTCTGAAAACATAGCTTATGCACAACGTCTTTGAAGTGTAATTGTTGCCTAGGTCTTAGTTGGTACTTAGTTTGGGTTTGAGTTCAAAAGCAACAGCAGTCTACAAATTAATATATCAAGTTAATCTATACTTGGATCTTCAGAGAGTAATTATATGCAGTATATCTGCTAAAGTGTAGACTTATTTTAGTTTATCCTAATGTAAAGTATCATTTTAGCAATTACACTGTTTCATTTTGTCTGGAAGTTGAGTCATGGCAACTGGACTTCTTTTCTTTTTTGGTTTGAAAGATTTTGCTGCTTATTTAAAATCTTTCAAACCAAAAAAGAAAAGAAATCCAGTTGCTATGACTCAACTTACGACAACGCTACCTAGTTGACTGAGAATCTTCATCTTCATCGACAAATGTTTCATTTTATTTTTAAAAGGGGGATAATGTTTCTTTATTATTTTTCTGGAATATTTCTTTAAAGCAGTAAACATAAAAATCATTACTTACTAAAAAAAATGTCTAAATGACATTCCAAAGCAAAAAAAAGCAAGAAGTAAATAACCAGAAAAGCAAACAGTTTCAAGTACTATCTGAACTTGTGATCTCCAGATGCACTTCCTGAAGTAAGAAATCTTTCCAAATCCTAATGTCATGGTTCTGATAGATGAGACCAGTAAAAACAGAACTCCAAGGCAAGAGATTTCCTTAAAGAACATATTTATTGGCTACAAAGTATCAGCACGATCAAAAGTGAAACCAAGACTGAAATTCCCTCCCAAAGGTTACAAAGTAACAAAACTGAACTTCCCACCCCAGTAACATGTCACTAATCACATTCCCCAATAAACCAATTTGGCAGGCTTTCTAACGGAAAGCGCAACCCACCAAAACCCCAGTAGCAATGACCTTGGTTCCCACAGGACAATTTATGGTTTTGTCTAACCTTAAAAGCACACATCTCCCCTCTCAACTGTGGCAATCAAAAACAAAGTTGCAGTGTTGACATCTGCAGAAAGAGCAAATCTAATAGAAACTAAAGGGATATTGGCATATCAGATTTATATAATCTCTGAAGATCACATATCTATATAAGGAACCAGTGTGTTAATATTAAAAGCATACCTTCAACAATTTGATTTCACATGAGAATAGATACGGTTTCTGTGCTGCATCATAACAGAGTTTATACAAAATGCATTCAGCTACAAAAAATAAAATACTGATGTGTTCTGGAGCAATAGGAGCATGATCCAATGAAATTCCAAGAATCTCAAGAGCTTCTAAAGGAAAAAAGGAAAGGAAAAACAAATTCAGTTTGGTCTAACTATTTTACAAGTCTACAAAATCTTAATATTTCATGCAATACTTATCACACCTGCAATACAATGCTGGTCAAATTCTAAACAAAATAATAAGTGTTAAATCAATTTCCTCCAGATTGTTTGCCTGTTCTGATTATCATTTTGATGAAAATGTAATTAAGACTCAGCCCTCTCATAATTTTGATCAACAGTTCCTGAAATATTTATGCTAGAATGTGAATTAAATGCTATTGCATAATAAAGCCATCTAATAAAGTTGAATGGGCCACCAAGAATGTGCAATGTGAGGCCCTGGAAAGCAATGAAGAAGACAAGATGTGATCTCCCATCACAAAACCTACTGACCACACTAAGGCCTTATAAGCAGAAGAACACCAATACTGACATCCCCTAAACTCCACTGAAGATGTTACCTAACCTGGTAATGAAATGTTTGGAAACCAATTCACAAACTCAAAGAACGAACCTCCACCCTCAACTCAAGATGACTCCACTGAAAGTGGAGCTTATGATCGTAGCAGAATGAGGAACTGTGAAAAGATCAGATCTTTGAAAAAAGAGAGGACTCAGATTACCCCCAACTATTGTAGGCAGTAGTTCCCTGCAAGGAGACTGTAAGATCAGCAGTCTCCAGTGGCTTTAGAGTTCTGGAAGCTGAGGGAATCACCATCTCTGCTTTCTAAAAACTATTAAACAATAGTCATAACAAATCTGTCAAATTTTTTCTCATATGGCTGGAAATTCTGATTATGGAAGATTCCAGGATAAGAAAAATGAGAAAATATGGAGTCAGTTAGGACAAGTGAAGTAAGGCACAAGTATCCCTCCCCTATTATCATCCCAGAAACTTAAAACCCAGTCAGTTCAGCCATAAAACATTTAGGAGGCCAAGGAATGTTAATAAAGCTAGAAAGTTGAACACATGCTCTGGGAAGCAAAATCACCATGATGTAAACCAGTAAAAATAGCTTTCTGGGGGTGAAAAAAACCATATTTAGGAGAGTACTGCCTTTGTTCCATCTATGTACTATAGCTTCTACAGTTCCAACCGATTGTTTCATAGAAACTACCTCATTAATATGATATTCTGCTTTAACTCATAATTTCCCATCAAAGAATCTAATCCTATGTATATTTTAATTTGCATAAATACATATAGAGCTGTTGCAGCCCCACCCAGTATTGTACAGGTAATCAATGTTTTATGACCATAATTGAGCCCAAAATTTCTGTTGCTAAGTGAGACATTTGTTAAGTGAATTTTGCCTCATTTTACTACTACTTGCCTTGCCACAATTGTTAAGTTAATCACTGCAGTTGTTAAGACAGTAACACAGTTGTTAAGTGAATCTGGCTTCCCCATTGACCTCGCTTGTCAGAAGGTCACAAAAGATGATCACATGACTCTGGGACACTGCAACTGTCATAAATATGAGTCAGTTGCCAAGCATCCTATTTAACATTTACATGAAGCCGCTGGGTGAGATCATCAGACAGCATGGGGTGAGGTTTCATCAGTATGCTGATGATACCCAGCTATATATCTCCTCCCCGAGCTGTCTCAGTGAAGCGGCTGATGTGATTGGCCATTGCCTTGAAGCCATGAGGGTCTGGATGGGGGTTACAGACTCAGGTTCAATCCTGACAAGACCGAGTGGCTTTGGATGTTGCCTCCCAAGGATCATGTTAACTGTCCAGTGTTGACTCTAGCAGGGGAAAATATACCCCCTTCGGAGCGGGTTCGCTACTTGGGTGTCCTCCTTGATCCACAGCTGAAATTGGAACATCATTTGACGGCTGTGGCTGGGAGGACCTTTGCACAAGTTCGTCTGTTGCACCAGCTGCGACCCTACCTGGACCGGGAGGCTCTCCTTACAGTCACTCATGCCCTCGTCACCTCACGCTTGGACTACTGCAACACACTCTACATGGGGCTACCCTTGAAAAGTATTCGGAGACTACAGTTGGTCCAGAATGCAGCCGCGCGTGTGATTGTGGGTGTTCCTCGGTACACCCACGCTACACCTATCCTCCGCGAGCTGCACTGGTTGCCTATTGGTCTCCGGGTCCAATTCAAGGTGTTGGTTATTACCTTTAAAGCTATATACGGCTCAGGGCCAGGCTATTTGCGAGACCGCCTACTACCTCATAGTACCCTTCGTCCGGTTAGATCCCACAGGTTGGGCCTCCTTCAGATCCCGTCGGCCAAGCAATGCCATTTGGCGGGGCCGCGGGGGAGGGCTTTCTCTGTGACGGCGCCATGTCTTGGAACCAGCTCCCCCCGGAGATTAGGACCGCTCCCACCCTGTTGATTTTCCGCAAGCTGCTTAAGACCTGGCTTTTCCGGCAGGCTTGGGGTTTATAAAATCTGACCCTTGGATGAATGTTACTGTATTGTTTGTCTTGTTAAGTTATATTGTGTTTTTATTGTTAGCCGCCCGAAGTCCTGCGGGAATGGGGCGGTCTATAAATTTTAATAAATAAATAAATAAATAAAATCTGAATTTTGATCACATGACTCTGGAAATGCTGGAATGGTTGTAAGTGTGAAAAACACTCAGAACTCACTTTTTTCAGTGCTGTTAACAATTGCTAAATGAACTGTTGTAATTCAAGGACCATCTGTATTAAGCAGCCTGTGCTTCATCAGAATTGCATGCTGGTTTCCAGTTTAAATAAACTATCTGGGAAAAGCTGTGGCCTATTCTAAAGCCCTATTTCCTATCCATAATAAACCATAACAAACCTATTCCAGATCTCTTTGAATGACATCCCATTTTAGTTCTGCAGTGAATAAATACATAAACTAACAAAACAAAGTAGCATAGTTATGTATAGAATATGGTCACTATTCACTTTGAATAAATCTCCAACCACTTATTTTTCATTCAGCGTATATATTTCAGATAACATGGAAGGAAATCTCAAATGTGGCAATCATTATTACTGCTCTTATCCAATCACCTTATTACTTATCTCCCTGTATTTTGAAAATTATTATTTTAATTCTACTGTGAATTTTAAATAAAAGCTTAGGTGTGAGATATACACTAGCATTTTTTTAAAAAATAAAATATTCTGTTCTCCAAGGATTTTAAGACAGAGAACAAATCATATTTTAGAGAATGTCCCATAATCTTTAGGGTCAATTATCATTTTATTTATTGAATAATTGAGGGGGGGGGAACTAAAGCCTTTCATTATTTAAGGCAAATTATTTCAGTAGTTTACACGTGCTGAATTACAGCCGATTCACATCTAATTTCAGAAAAGAATTTCTAAAGCAATCTTATTTGAAAATGAAATCAAAATGAAGAATAATGAATGTACATTGTTTTGAAGTTGCAAAAACAATAAGAATCAAAATGCAAGCTGTTAGATAGAATCAGAGTTCGGTATGGTTTTTCACTGAAGGAGTGGAATGTTTGCAATGGTTAACCTCTGTCTATCTTGCTCAGAAGAAACATGTGGGGAGGGCAAAGACCCCCTAAACATTATTTAACAGTACTACTTTTAGCCGATGTTAGATACAATAGCATAAATTTCCTTTTAGGTGCCCTCCCCAAATGGATTTATTGCATCCAATGTAGTCCAGACAAGACAGCTAAATGTATATTGATCTAATTTTACAATATCTGTGTGATTTACTTCTTGTGAAGAAACAGGGCAACATTTTGCATGTAAAGCAAATTATGTCTTGTGCATCAATTTAAGTCATCTGCATAATGACATCATTATTCCAATAGCATGTTGATGTATTTTAGCTAATTGTGTATTTTTATATTGAACAAACAAACATAATAGCTTCTTTCCACCAAATACTTTATTAAAATGAGGTCCCTGTGTTCATAATTTAGCAGTGTTTGTTCGGCAGAAAGAGAAAATGTGTATCAATTAAAATGGAAAAGCAACATACCTTCACTAATTTCTCCTTTGCATTGAGATAACATTATTGCCTCAGTCCATGCTACTGGAAGATTCACATACTTCCCACAGCCTAATACATTGAGTCCCAATCGTCTCTATCCAGAATATAAAATAGAAAGAAGCAAAAGATTATGATACCACTTCCCCCCTCCCCCCAAAAAAACTAACAATAGACTTGGGGCTGAACTAAAGACTAATGAAATGAGCACATTCGGAAGGAATTCAGAACAAATTCTTCAGACCTTGCACAAGTGTAGTGCCTCTGAGTTATTCATTAAAGCAGCTTGACATTTTTCAGCCTTCTGCTTGGAATACATGTTGCTGATGCTGCTTAAGTAATGCATAAGTCTCTTAAAGAACTTTAAGGCATTTTTTTAACCTAAAAAGCCTTTATTAGTATTACAGTGTCAGCACGGCATGGTGGAATGCTAAGATCTGAATTTCCCTTCCTTTGCACATAACATTCCAGGCATTTCTCCTCCCCTATTCTGGGGTCATGATTCACATCTTCCAATTAACTTGGAGGGCAAAGATTCACTTCTGTTCTTTTTCCCGGGCTTTCCTTATATTCTCCTCCCCTTTTGCTGTCACCTGATTTAACTCTAAAAATACCAGACAGTTCTGCATATATTGTCAAAGCAAGAATATTCAATATTAGCAGCGTTGACACTTTCCTTACCCCAAGATTGTTTTCATGAAATTACTTCAATGTGACTACATTTAAAAAGAAAACAAGTATTTCAAACATTTTCAACCTCGCAATTTCTTATACATTTTAGATGTTAAAATACAAATTATTTTAACATTGTCCTTTCTGCACATCTGTGTATGAATAACTTTAAAAAGAAAATGAATATGATCTGGTAAAAATTAATATTTTTATTAATTCTCAGGTCTTAAACAGCATCATAAACATTTAGGTTCAACAGATGGTCTTTATAAATGACTTTTTATAAATCCTATATATACAAACCTTGCATCTAGCAAGCATTTTTTTAGCCAGATCTATGAATGCTACCTTTCTTTCTGTTTCTGAGGCATTATTGAAATTCTCAATGAATTTTTCAGTAAGTTCAAATGGATTTCTAGAAAGATACATGGAAGAGAATATCAATTTAATTGGACAAATACATAGAATTAACTTTTCAAGCATAAAAGAACATAAAGCTTATTTAATTTTAAAAGATCCATTGTGTAAGGTCAGTCTTTAAGATTATCAGCTGCTGTCTCACTTTTACAAAAAAATTTATAGCTTCTACACACTTGAAAATTCTGTCCTGGTAAGATCAGAACAATTTATCCTGGTAAGATCAGAACAATATATCTATGTGACAGGACACTCTTCTATCTAGATGGAAATACTAGTTTTCTATCCTGAAAGTAATCTAGCTTAAGAAGTTGCTGTCCAGAATTCAATCTGTTCATTAGTTCTGGCAATGAAATAGGCCAGGCTTTGGCCTAGATGGAGGTTACCAAAGCTCCTAGCTGGTACACTCCTGTGCATCTTTACCACTTCCATCTTAAGATAACATCAGTTGTTACCAGAATTACTATTACTAAGTGATGCAGTTGTAAACCAATATCACATGACTCTGCAATTTAGCAATGGCAAATCTGCGTGTCCAGTTGTTAAAACAAATCCCACATCATCATTAAGTGCAATCTCACATGGTCGCCTTTGCAACCTCCTGCCAGCTTTGCCAGTGACTTTGCTTGCAGGAAGATAGCAAAGAAGGTCACAAATTCTGATCGTGTGACTGTGTGACACTACAATGTCATAATTGCAATCCGGGTGCTGAACAATCACATGCAGAGATGCTGCAATGGCTGGAACTTTGAGTACAGATCATAAGTATCACTCGTTCAGCACTATTGTAAGTTTGAATGATCACTGAACAAGTGTTATTAAAGTTTGAATGGTCACTAAACAAATGGTTATTAAATACTGGGAAAACAAGAGCCAGTCGTTTGTCTTCTGAAGAGTGGGTCTTTCAGGATGCACACTTTCTGTACAAGATATCTATTATTGTCTCTCCCTTGTACTTGACATCTTTCAACTGTAACAGGTACATTATACACTGGGAGGGTACTGGTTTAAGCTCTCTCAGCGTGACTGTGAATCTCTGCCTACAGTTAACAGCTCATTTGGAATTGTTCAAAATACTGGAAGTCACGAAAACAATGTGATCATCAACAAGTTCTTCCTCCTACATTTCCACTGCTATTGAAAACCTTCTTTGCCCAACTATTTTCTAAAGGAAAGAGAATTCACTATCTCTGCAAGTACCAAGTGCAATTAATTTCAAATCTCTTCCAGGATAAAAACTAAGTAAATAGCTGGAGCCACAAAAGTACAAACATATGCAAGGTGAAGGAAGAACATTGTTGATTTCACAAAACCAAAACAAAAATATAAAGCCAGATTCTTATATGAAGTGGACACCGTGGATGGGACAAATTAGTAAGAAGGGGATTATGCAAAAGGATTAATTGGTAAGTCCACTGTGAACCTGGACTAGCTTTTTTTAAACATACATTTATAAATGATACTGTTGTCATTAGGAGGCAGTTCCTATTCTCATCTCTCTTGGATTAAATGGGACCTAGTGAACTAGAAAAGAGGTTCTCAATTCTGTCCTTTCATTTCTGGCATGTTTTCCCTGAGAGTCATTTAATATCAATTATTGCACATAACAATGCCATGCTGTAAGCTTCAACCATATTATTTTGACTATTTTGAATTTTTTATCAATTGTGTCCTATATTTCCTTTCCTATAATTTCATTTTTAAACTTATTTTGCTTCCTTATTTTTCCACAGTTGGCTTAAGACTGCTTACCCAAAAAGGAAATAAATAATGTAATGGATTTGTAGGTGTGTCTGCATCAATTTTGCCGGATTTTATCCTCTGCTGTGAATGCTTCTATGATTCTCACTGATTTGCTTTTAGTAAAGAAAGGAGCCACCCTGTGGCAAGTTTGGATTTTTTTCTGGAGGAAAGTAACACTTAGCTAGGAATGTTGTTTTTTTTTTAAAAAAAAAATCTCAAATACACTCTTAGTTAAGGGGTATATATTTACTACAGAAAATATTCCTATGTTTGTTATGACATCTCAGGTTTGTGCAGTTATGCCATGGGAATCACTTGAAATTCTAAAGTAAAACTATGCCTTTTCCTTTTTGTTTAATCAGTTGTTTGACTAATATTGCCTGAAGTAATTGGTTCAGTTTTATTTGTAGATGTTAAATGTTTGATATAATATTGTAATTCATATCTATACGTATTTATTAAGAAACTAATATAGAAAGTTTTAATCAATAACTAAACTTGCAAAAATTAAATAATTGATACATAGGCATACTAGAAATCAGGGACAGAACAGAATGTCTTTGAAAGAGTAAAAATCATATCTATTAGCAGACTAAGAAAAAAGACTAACTTACACAATGCTATCTCTCTCCTTTAATTCTTACAAGGCAGAATAGTAACTAGAATAGTTCCACATAGATCATTAAGCAAGGACCTCAACTGATCGTGACTTCCAAATTCTTGTCAACCTCCCTGTTGTGGAACGTTGTGGAAAGCTAGCAGAGAACGTTGCAAATCGCAATCACATGACTGCAGGAGTGGTGCGCCAGCCAGAATTTTGAGGACCAATCATAACTATCACTCATCTGAATGAGGTCAGCACCACGTCACGTTCGAATAGTTGCTGAATGAGTGTTTGTTAAACAAGGGCCACCTGTACGAAGCTAGTAATATGTTATATCAGTGGTCAACAGAAATATATTAATTAAAGTTATGGTTAACCATCATGCTGCTTTGAAGTTAATGACATTACTTCATGGATTGCATTTTTATCAGAAATAACCATTAATAATGTATGAATGTATCTAAGTCTATTGCACTAAGCGTATATTTGCTAGGAAGTCATCATTGTATAAAACTATGACATATACTATGATGATATAGTGTAAGGCACCTTGATGTATGAATTTAATTATGCACGTAATAATCAATTGTCCACAGTCTTGGAATAACCTGTAATGATAGACATAGGATGCTATGAACTCTTCATGATAAGTGTACTGTATTCTTCTTACATTATTAATCTGCCAACTGATAGCAATATATTTACGATCAGATGGATTTTGTGTATCTGTGTGTCTGTATGTGTGTCTGTGTATGTGTGTCTGTGTGTGTGTGTCTGTGTGTGTGAGAGAGAGAGAGAGAGAGAGGGAGGGAGGGAGGGAGGGAGGGAGAGAGGGAGAGGGAGAGGGAGAGAGACTATACCTTGGCTGAAAAAGTCCAGATGACTAACAGGGACTAGAGAAGTATTAAAGGTGGTGGAATCTCTTTTATCTCCTCTATTGTTTATATAATTATTTATTGCATTTATATTTTGCCACAATTAAAAACAACTCTTGGTGATTTATACAATATAAGTACAAATTAAAAACCAAAACAAAGCAATATAAAAAAGCTATATGAAGAAATCAATGAAAAAAAATTGATGGCAAGATTTAAGCTAAAACACTCTGCAAAATAGCTGATTTTCAGCATCTTACTATGTGACGTCAGGAAAGGAGCAAGTCTGCAGAAGAAAGGTTATTCCAGATTATGCCTAGTGCTTGTCATTTGTCAAGGAGGTGTATTTAAGTAACATTATCACCCTCTTCAAATAGTAATTTATCCAAGCAATCTTCTGTTTCCTTTATTTTTTAAGAAGATATCACAGAAATTAATTTTATTAGTTCTCATCAAGAAAATTAATGTCATATAAAAATTCCATTTAATGGAACCTTAAAATCATTTTTTAAAATGTATTTAAATTCAACTGACAGGACACTGCTGATAATGACTCACAGATGAGATTCAATATGGATTCTACTATTTCATTTAGGCAACAGATAATATTATTCTAAGTAATTATTCTAAGTTTCACTCCATCTATTATAGTTATAATAGAGAGCTAATTCCTTAAGCATGAATCTTATTAATAGTTTCCAGTAAATTCCAGGACATGGGATAATATTCTAGTTCCTAAATGCGAAGGACAGGTTTATTTTTGCTAACTCAATTTAAGTGCTAAGGTTATTTTGGTTTCTTATTCCCCTTTTTCCTTAAGCAGATAGTTGTTACATTTCCCTATTATTTATATAAAGCTCTTCAAGTATTAACGTTTCCTATCTCTGACTGAAATCCAATAGTATGGCCTGTCCACAAGTGGTACAGATACCACCATTAGAACAAATCACTATTGTACCTATGGAATGTATTATTTACATACAGTAAATAACATGCACCAGAAAATGATCCAGAACAGATTTACACGTATTCCTCAGTTAATATCAAAAATTGGAACCATGATTTCCATCACCAAGTGATGCAATTGTAAAGCACAATATCGCATGACAGCACTGCTTAGCAACAGCAATCCTGAAAGTCCCAGTTGTAAGGTCATTAAGCAAGGTCATGGGTCATCAAGTGAAATCTTCCTCACAACTTCCCCCAGCTTCTAAAAAGCAAATTTAATGGATAAGACAATAGGAAGTTGCAAGTCCTGGGCAGCTCACAAGCAGGTTAGTGGGCAGGTAAGTAGTTGCTATGGCATGATGAAACCACAGCCAAGCATCCGGGGGGAGGTGCTCTGGAAGGTAAAGAGGGAACACAAGCCACAGCCCAGCCGGGTCAGGATAACTGCTGCTGGTGGCAGGAGGGTATGTGTGTGGCTGCTGTGGCACCACACAAGGCATGTCTGCACTAAAGAATAGGAGAACGCTGGGATCTTACACTCCAGGCTAGGTTCTTTGGGAGAAAAAGTGATGGAAATGGGAGTGATTTACAGGAGTGACATGTGACCTTCCATGCTGGCTTCTCCGTTGATTTTACTTCTGAGAAGCCAGCAGAGAAGGTCACAAATGGTGATCATGTGACCAGGAGACATCACAACCATCGTTAAGTGCAAGCCAATGCAGTTTCCCAATGCTCAGATGACCGCAGGAGTACTGGGATAGGCAGAATTTCAAGGACAGATCATAAGTACCATTCATTCAGTGGTGTCATAACTTCAAACAGTAATTGAATTTATGACTGTTAACTGTGCAAGGAATCTATTAGCATAGTCTGAAAAGGCAAAGGTGAAGTCATGTCCCATCTATCATATTGTACACCATATCTTTCATTTTTTATATTTTGAGGACACTTTATTTAAACGTTAACAAAGTGTTTCACCCACTTGCTCTTTTGTTTAAGACATGGGTTGAGAACCGTGAAAACACTGAAGGTATAAATTGCATCACTTATCAATATTTAAACTTACCTAAGTGGTTTTATCTTGAAATCAACTGAACATTTTTTCAGATATTCAGTCATCAGTCTCTGTTGGAGCTTTTCGTGCTCTTCAGGGGACACAATGCCAAAGTTATAACGCACCGGCACTTTTAAAATAGGCATGGTGTTGTAAATTCAGTCTTAAAACAAAAAACAAAAACAGTACAGCCAAAAGGAAAGATTACGATTTCCTATACAAGACTAAGCTTTAAAAGTTTTTTGTTATGTCCTCCAAGGAACTGAAGAACAAAACAAAACAAAACAAAAGCAATAATCTAGATATCCTAAAAGGAACAAGCAATTTTTAAAAACTTAGGGTTTTTTAGCACTCTACTTAGAAAACAATTTAAACTGCATTTATGTTAATCAAATATTCATAATAGAATAGTTAAAATAAAATTGCAATATGTTATGCTATTTACATTAAAAATACAATTGTTGAATTGCATCTGGATTCATGCCAAACTGTTTGATTTATTCCAATCTCTCTATTTCATTATTACTTCTTGATCAGTTAATTAGCCAGCACAACAGACTAGCTTGATGTTTGATTAATCAATTTACATGTTATTAAGTGATATGATAGGCAATATAATATCAAAGAATTACATTATCCACAAATAGAACTAAATAATGGAAATGTCCATTAAAATTACATCACTATTTAAAATATGAAAATTCCTAAAATATAATTTAAACTATGCTGTTGATGAATGTAAAAATAATTGCTTATAAACTTTACAAGTAAAACATATCCCCAGATATATATTTTATTATAGCCCCTCCAAAAAAGGCAGACAGTAATCATCACATCAGAGATACCTTATAATAAAATTATGCCTGTAGCATTAAGGAAACCACATGATAGATGATCCACTTAAAATCATTCTTTGGTTTTAAGGCTGTTGCTATTTAAGGACTTATAGTGGAGATCCTATGCTATCATCAGAAATACAGGTAATCCTCAGATTACAGTGGCAACCGGTGATGAGGTTATAAAGTGTGAAGTCATGTGATTGTATCATACAGCAACAGCAATCCCAGCAGTCCCAGTTCCGGTCATAACCCCAGGACTGCACATGTTGCTAAGGAAGAAAAGGCAGGAGTCCCAAGCAAGCAGGGCAGTGGGTGAGAGTGGTGGACGTCAGGTGTCCCAGGCAAATGCTACAGAGCAGAGGTTGGTAGGTGGATTCCACAGACAGGCAAGCGAGAAAGTAGCAATAACAGAAGTGCCTTGCAACCTCCTGCCAGCTTTCCCATTGACTATCCATGTGAGAAGCTGGCAGGAAAGGCTGCAAATGTTGATCATGGGATGCTACAACTGTCATAATTGTGACCCGGTTGTCAAGTGTCCATATCACAATCAAAGCATTGCATATTATAAGTTTCCCTTGTGGAACATTGTCCCAAATTTGCTGAACGGTCATGACTTGTAATCATTCCATAAGTTCAACAAATTTACTCTATTGTATGGTCAGGATTACAGCCTCTTCTCAGCATACTCTAATGCAGGGCTTTTCAACCGGTGGATGTGTACCACCGGTGGTATGTTGGCACCTGGCAGGTGGTACGCGACTGTCCTAGAGAAATGGTAGCGGGGGAGGGGAGTGAGTGAGCTGAAGCGGCAGCGGCACCACACAAGCCTGAGCGAGAGACAGCTGGAGCTACAGGGCTGTCAGGGCTCAGCAGAAGCGCCAGGATAAACGCCAGACTCCAACTGATCAGTGCTTCTGCAGGGCGTTTCTGCAGGGCTGTCTGGGCTCAGCAGAAGCATCAGGATCTGCGCCAGACTCCAACTGATCAGTGCTTCTGCGGGGCTGTCAGGGCTCAGAAGAAGCACCAGGATCAGCTGGAGCCCGGTGCTGATCCTGGAGCTTCTGCTGAGCCCTGACAGCCCTGTAGAAGCGCCAATTTGCTGTCAGGGCTCAGTCCCAGGATCAGCGGCAGAAGGAAGGAAGGAGATGGGAATGAGAAGGAGGAAGGCACGGAGGGGAAAAAGGAAGGAACCGCCCCAACAGTAACCACAATGCTAATGCAGCCCTCAATGAAATTGAGTTTGACACCCCTGATATAAAAGGTTGTTAAGTGAATCTGGTTTCCCCATTGAACTTGCTTGTCAAAAGAGTACAAAAAGGGATCACATGACCTTGAGACACTGCAGCCATCATAAATATGAATCAGTTGCCAAGCATCCAAATGTAAATCACATGACCCTGGAAATGTTGAAATGGTCATAAGTGTGAAAAATGGTCATAAGTCACTTTTTAGTGCCATTGTAACTTTGAACAGTCACTAAGTGAACTGTTATAAGTCGAGGACTACCTGTATTTTATCACTTTTTTCTTTTCTTTTTTTGTTCATCAAGTCTTTGACACCTTGTTAGGCGACTGGTGGTACTCGGATATTGCCATATCCTAAAAGTGATACAATGGGTGAAAATGTTGAAAAGCCCTGCTCTAATGCATATTTACTCTGAATAAAATCCAATACAGTTCATTGTGGCATTTTTCATTGGAGCTCTCTTTAGGACTGTGTTCAGAAGAATCTCAAAGACAGTAGAATTACTATGAATCCCACCACATAAACAGATTAGAAAACTAAAATTGCCATTGTTTATACCACCAATGGGATTAGGAGAATGAAAATAAAGGATACTTCCAGAAAGCACCAATAATCAAGAAAAATAATGCAGCAATTCCACTTTTTTCCTTAATAAAAAAATCTTCCTTATGAAAAAAGCTAGGAGTGTTATAAATTATTTATTTTATTTTTTCAAATTTATATAGATGCCCATCTCACTTACATGATTCTGTGTACCTCACAAATTAAAACAGCAAAGACAAACTCATGTAAATATCAAAACAATTAACCAGAAATATAGAAGCATCGGTAAGTGCCAGCCAACAGACAATACAGATATCTTGCAGACTCCCACATGCCCACATTATAACGTGAGGAAGAAGAATCACAGAATAAAATATTATCTGGAAATACGTAGAGAAGACATTTAAAATAGAGGATAAGCTCCTGAAAGTGCCAAATAATTAATACTTTATTGTGATAAGCCAAGCCATAACTATGCCTATAGCTCGAATATTCCTCAAATAAAACATTAGATGCCTTACTGTCTGCCAAGAAATCCTGCTTGGTTTTTTTTTTTTTTAATTTAAGCTTTAGGAAATTATAGATGCTCCACTTCAGTTATAGAAAACATGATTAAATCCATAGTATAGATTATTTCACACTCATAAATTTCCTCTTATAAAAACTGCTTCATTCTGGAAATAAAAAACCAGTAAATTGTGCTATGTATCAATCTGATCCAATTTTATCAGATAAATACAACTTTAGAAACAGGCTTCCACCAAATATTCTATATGAGAAATTAAAAAGTGTTTATGCTTATAATGCAGATTTTCTCAGGAAAGGTCATCTGCACTGACTGATTTGTTTTTACTGGGGTACATTTCTAGAAAGGGAACTTTTATCATTAGACCTGCACACTCCTGAGTCTGTCTGGTGACAGGTTAGAAAAAAGACACAGCCTAAATGTTCAAGATTCTCCCTCCCATCCTAACATCAAATAACTGAGAGCATTATCAGTTGCTCAGTATTCCAACAGCAATCACAGCTGCTATCAGGATTTACTGACATTTCTCTCACCGCCTATAAATTTCAAAGGCGTAATTTCTCTGCAGTTCTGAAGTTCTTCTGTTGTGAAGGACACTGAGGCTACAGCTTAGACCATTTTCCTTCTATTCACTTACAGCACCTTATAACATCTCTGTTGGCAATGTACACCAGTGAAGACTTCAAATCACCATAACAATGATTATGTGATAGCAGTGTAAGGTCCCAGTCCCTTACTTGAACTTGAGATACCATATCAACCTAATCAGATAACCCAAGCGAAGACTTCTTGATCAAGCAGCACTTTATTTGATCAAATTAAGCAGCTGGGTGGAACGCTGGCAGAGTTACATCCAGAAGTGCCATGCATTAGGAAATTGGTAGCATTGCTTTATAAACTTTGTTAGCCAATGAAAATCAGACAACAGCCATTACATCATAAGAAAGACATCAATCATTCCTGTACACTCCCTTATTTCCTTCTTCAGTATATCATATCCATGTACATGTTTCCCAAGCTTGCATGAAATTTCTCTGGTACAAAAGCTGATTACAAAAAGCAAGAAAGCAACAGTTAGACTAAACAATTTCCCTTTGTATATTTAGCAGAATATACAAACACTGTCGGAAGAGAGCCATCTTAGGCTGTATTGGCAAATAATCAGGAGCCCAGGAACGCCTTTTCTGTCTAAACAAATGACATTTAATAGCATGTAATGTCATTTGTGAATGGGGAAAGGAGCCGATTTAAAATATGCAGAAATAGATAGCAATAACAGGCTATGCTAATTGCTGCCCTCTAGCGGGTCTTCAGAAACTTCTCAGGCCAGAACCCCCACCCTCACCCTCACCCAAGCAAGCTCTTCTATTGACTTTGCCGACCAATCAGCGTTGTTCTCTCAGCAAAGGATGGAGGTGATTTCCCAGCGCTTTCTTCAGGGATATTTTCCGTCTTTCCAGTCCTAATACCACAGATACGAAGCAGGTCCGAACCTGTTTAACTTTTTCAATTCCGCCACAGTCCACTCCTGCTGCTGAGCGGGCATTAACAGCAGCTCACAAACCAGGGATATGGACAGCTCTAACGGGTACGAGGCAACCTGCCGGGATTAAAACCGTTCCCTTGGGAGCTCCCGACTTTGGATCATATTCGCGACCTTCTTGTTAACTTACCGCATTCGCAGGAGGAGGCGAAAAGCGCCCAGGCCTCGGCCTCAGGCTGCCACCTTCGCGGGGTTTTAATGAGTCGCGGCAACCGTTGCCATGGACGCAGCAGGACGGGATTCCACGGAGTGAGAGAGGGAAACTTATCTGTACCGCTGGAGATCCCGGCTCCCTGGCTGCTATTCCAGCGCCGTGTTTTGTATATGCCGCTGCTGTAAACCGGAGCTAAGTGTAGCGGGGATCAATAGAGGGATTGTTTTCATGACGAATGATTGTAAGTCGAGGACTAACTGTATTACCTACAGCTCGTGTATCATCTATTATCATATATGATATGCAACATTGTAATGATTTTTGATTGATAAGAAAAGTCCTCATGAGTAAAAGTAATAATCCTTAGATAAATTGAAATATCACAGTCTATTTTAACACCTTCAACCACAAATATTTCAGGCAGATCAAGTTTCAATAGATTTTTTTTCTCTCTGTATAATATTATTTATTGGCCAAATGTAATTGGACAACCAAGTAATTTGTCTCCAGTGCATAAGTTCTCAGTGTGCATACAAACAACAAAGTAATGTAATCATAAGATACCAATGATAGAAGGTAATAGGAAAGATGAGAAGGATAATAGTAATATAGCCTTACTACATAGGTAGTAGTTTATGTCCATGTTTATGTCTATGGAGAAAAGTTTATTTCTATTCTCCATAGGACAGAATTGAAAACAATCCTTATTAATCATTGAAGAAACTCAGAGGTTTAGTGCAAGAGTCTATCAGAAACAAAAGACAGTAGCTAAACAAAGCGCTCCTATTCAAATTGTAATTTATGTGGTTTTTCCCTTTTTGTATGGGGTAAAACATAAGCTCATAAGTGAGACTCATACAGCATGTTAACTCATAATATAATGTGCTATGGCTTAGCATATTGTAATTTGTATTATTTATTAGATGTATAATAAATACACATCCTCCAGTTTTTCTTCCAAACCACCAGATAAAATAGGTTGGGCTAAGAAAGGCACCCAATATGCCTCCATGGATAAGAATGGGTTTCAACCTCAGTCTGCCCACTAGTTCTTAACCATTACTACACTCTGGCTTTCTGATCTTGCAGGTACTGCACAAATTGTGTCAATAGCCACCATTAAGCAAAGTATGGATTGATAAAGGCAGGTAAGGCAGATTATTGCATTCCAATGGCTTTTGAGTAACTGAGTGCTTAAAAGTATTATAGAGGAACTGTAACTCAGCTTTGTTATAAATCAAGATCAGTTTTGTATCATGAGCATTTATTTGTAACCCCTAGACCCAATTACTAAAATAAATTACATTGCAGAATTGTATTACACTAATCTAATTGTCAAACTGTAATAAAATACTAAATTTACAATACTGCAGAATTGTTGCAAATTGCCCTATGTTAAAACATTGGAAAACGTTATGGGAATCACTAGACTCGTGTCAGTTTGCTTAGCTCCTTGCAAATTCAAAGAAATTCGTATGTACTCACTTCACATAAAACATGATTAAAAAGTAAGCAGTTCACCAATGTATTTTTTTCAGCTGTGTTACAACTCTGATCTCACTGTTCACTTGTACGAATCTCTTCATATCTCATGCAACATTTAAAAATGAAAAAAGACCAATGAGAAACAGTGAGAATTATGATTCGTACACAAAGGTTTTCTTAGCAGTATTACAGAAGTGTGCCGGGATGGGGGATTTCACAGCAATTTTGTTTTGCAAGCTAGAGTGGAGGCAGAAAACTATTCCAGAAGAATACATGGCACTTGTATTCTTCTGGAATAGTTTTCTGCCTCCACTCTAGCCTGCAAAACCGAATTGCTGTGAAATCCCTATCCCGGTCTTAACCAACGACCCTCAGCTTCTCGCTAGCTGCCAAGCGCAGACAAATCCTACGCCCTAGCTAGGCGAAGTCAAATAGCTCGGCAATCTGACGGGGGTTTGCTTCCGGTTGACGCCCGGAAGTGAAGATTAGAAAGTGGGAGTCGCTGGTCTTGGTTCTTCCCGGTTCTGCCTCTTGCTCGTTTTCCCCGATTCGGTTTGTTTTCGCTGCCCAATGCATCCGCGGCGCCCCGAGGGCTTCGACGGCCTGGGCTATCGGAGCGCCCGAGAGGAGCCCGGAGGCTTCGCGGCCAAGCCGGACCTAGGCCACTGGGTCACTACCCCGCCTGACATTCCTGGCAGCCGCAATCTCCATTGGGGTGAAAAGACGCCGCAGTTCGCCGCAGGCACACCTTTAGTGGCGGCTGGGCTCAACGAGGACCCGTACCTAGGAGGCGCTGGCACCAACTCCGGTGCGTAAAACAAATCGTGAGTGCGGGAGTGGCACGCGTAGATTAAGAGCCTGGCCTCCGCCCTTAGGCAGCAGGTGCTCCGGTGCGTCAGGCAGGTCTGCTTTGCAGTCCTCATTGGTTACGTCTGGCTTTGAATGCTGTCCAGCACTTTTTCTGTAATCCATGTCTTTAAGTGTGTCTCTTTTTGGAAGCATTTTGTCACTTGAGTGGCATATGCTAGGCACTTCCAAAAAACAAGTTATATAGTACCTGGAATAATATAGATATTATTTAAGAGATATGAGGAAATTAAGTATTTAACTTATTTAGAAACACTGTATTTTCTGCAGTTAATAAGGATGCCTAGTATGCTAAATTTCTTGGATTTACTATATAATTTATTACAATGAATAGTAAAAATTCTATACTGAAATGTGTTTCTTAAATGTGTGATTATCTGTCTTTTAGAACAATTAAATCGGTTTGCAGGCTTTGGGATTGGATTGGCAAGGTAAGAGGTCTAATCTTCTGCTAATGGCATTTTTTTTAATGCAAAAATACTTTATTTTTTCAAAATTCATACCCGCTATTTAATTCAGAAATTGAATATTGCCATTAAACTTTAAACAAAATGTTACAGTTGAATTTTCATAACTAACACTTAGTTATTAATATTGTTAAGTAACTTTAATACTAAATTGATATTTGTTCAGTTTGTGTGGCCGCCTATCTCAGTCAGTGACTCTAAGTGGCTTACAATATCTGAATCTATTTGATATTGCTAACTAACCATCTGAATCTATTTGATATTGCTAACTAGGCTATTCATATTGTTCTTGCCTAGTCTTTGGCTATTGATACTAATGTTTGCAATAAAGCTACATTAGAAAAAAAAATACTCATCTGGAAGAAATTGTGTTTATAGTCTCAATCTGAACCAACAATTCTTCAAGTTGGTCTCAACCTAAATAGTGAAAATTTGGAATGATAAATTTGCAAAACATCTGCTCATAACTGAAGAAGTTCATCTCTTTAGAAAGAATAATTAAATCATCTGAGCAAATGGGTGCTTAACTATGACAAATTAGCCATAACTTGCCTGTGTATATGTATCCAAACCTGAAGTCTTGTTAACTGTTTGTCAACAAGATGTAAATGGATGAATTGGATGACAGTAAAAGAAATTTCTATTATCTATAAAAATCCAATTTCTTTCAGAAATTTTACGTAAGAAGTTCCTTAAGAGTGTTTATACTTGACGTTGAGCCAAATAAATGTTCTGAAGATTCTGTTCCTATACCTTTCCCACAAGCTGTCTTTTAATGTAGTTTTTTTTAAAAAAATAAGACAGGAGTTATGGATGATTTCCATATTTTATTTAGATTATATACATTTTTAGCCTTTTAAACCTACATCCACTATGAATATAATCTCATCAATTTCTGGTTGCTAAAAGATAATTGAGCACTTTCAATATATCATTTCAATGCATTCAGCATTTTGTTCTGAACTAAATGAAAGCTAGAGATCTGAAATTAGTTGTACTTTTTATGGCCTCATTGTTACCATCAATCTACTTTCTAAAATCTCAGCAGACTTAAGGAAATAAAGAAAATTTTAAATATTTTAAATAATTTCCATTCAAAATATCTGATGTTTACTGAAACTTTAGTTTCATTATTATAAAGTAAATTGGAATAAAAAAGTGCCCCAAAATATTGTTAGAACACTATCATATACGGAGATATATAGTATGATATAAAACCATGAAAAGCAATAACTAGAATGCAGTTGACATAAATTATTTATGGTTGCTTCTGAATATAAATTAAAATTCTTACTCATGACTACTATTATACTCAATAGTAGAGCAATTTGACAACCAAAGAAACTAGTAAAGACATCCCAACAATATTTTGGAAAACTTGGGCTTGTAAATATAGGTTGTCCTCAACTTACAACCATTTAGTTAATGACCATTCAAAGTTACAATGGGATTGAAAAATGTGACTTACAACTAGGTCTCACACTTACAACCAACACAGCATCCCAATAGTCATATGATCAGGGCTGCTTGGCATCTAGCATTTACAGTGGTTGCAGAGTCCTGGGTTCATGTCGTCATCATTTACAACTTTCCTAGCTGTCTTCTGCCCAGCAAAGTCAATGGGAAAAATCAGTTTTGCTTCAAGGCCACATGATTCAACAACTGCATTAACTTGCTTAACAGCCATGGCAAACAAGCTCATAAAATTGGCTGTGACCCACTTAATGACTGCCTTAATGTAAATTTTAGTCTCATTTATGGTCATAAATTGAGGACTACCTGCATATCCCAATTTGAATGGATCTTGCTTAGGTAACAACCAGCTGTATCATACTAGAAGCAACTGTTGTATCCATAATTAGTAAATACTGCAGTTAACTAACTACATAATTTTGCAAAAACAATAGCAGAAGGAAAAAGAGGATATATTTGTCCTATTGCAACCCTTTTATAGCCTTACAAATTAGCTTGTCATGCTGTGCTATTCATACTGGTTTTGCAATCATAAAAAGAAATTTTTACAACACATATATGGATTTTCTTTAATAGCGTCATTTTACTAAAAGCAGAATTTTGAATAATATAATCACAAAATAAATAGATGAAGTGCATTTTAATTCTATCTAGGTACATATAAACTTTTTGTTTCTTGGTTGTAACTGGTATAGAAATTGCTTGAGGGGATACTCACTATATGAGATTTTTTTATGAGTTGGTAGGTCCAATTGGTCATGCAAAAAACAGTATAACTATCAGATTAATTTCTCACGAGAAAGAACACAAACCACTTGTTCCCTCACTTTCCTAAAACAAAACGACAAATCTAATAAGATGGGCTTTGCCAATTGGCCATTGTGGTTTTTAACTGCTGCTTTTTAAAGGTTCTATTGTAAGCATAGGGGAGAATAACCCCTCCCCTTAGAAGTGTGGTGCCTAGCAACTAGTGCCAATAGTGCAGTATGCTTTCCTTCTTAGGTAGCAAGGCATTCTCACACAAGTAGTCGAACCAGCTACAGTTCTTGCTGCTTACATGTGGCAGGGCTGACTGATGAAGTCTTGGACACGGATCATAACGTACAATAAGTCCTGTCTGGCTGTTTAATGTGATCTGCTGATTTGTTTTGTTTTTTGTGGCTCTGTGTATATATAAATGGATTGCATAGCTCATGTAAACCAAATAGAGAACAAGTATTTCACATTTCACTATTTCTAGATGTTATCAAACTGATAGTTCTGATAGTTTAGTTTAGACAGTTATCAAACCTGTCTCGTACCTATGTGTATTCATTTCTATAAATTGTAGGTTTTATTCTTCTCTATGTTTGTATTGCGGGGCTACCTACATGTTATAGTAGCCTATCTCTGTCTTTCAGCAGAGATGGACAACCTGGATTCTTTCAAATGTAAAAAAGATTGTGGAAGTTATATCAGAAATTCATAAGTTGCCTATTAGAATGAGCTTATTTTGGGAAGGTATTTTGCTTCATCAGAATTCAGAACACTACGTCAAAACAAAACAGTACCCATCTTCTACTCAGCAGAGTAGTTGCTTGGTTTTGATCTAATAAATAAATGGGGCTTCTGAACATATGCAGTGCATTCAGTGCAGATTGTTACTGAAAGAAACATATTAACCTAGTCCCATTATCCCTGCCTTATTTTGTAGAAGCAGAATGACTCATCTTAACAATTTTCCATATTAGAACAAACATTTTGTATTTCTCATATATGCAATAGACGCTGTAGTTCAGTATACAGCTTAGATTTTTGCAGAAGGCAGATGTATGTGAAGCTTATTGAGACTTGTCTATATGTTATAAATTTTAATTTATAGACATCACAGTTGTACAAATTAGAATGACTAATGTTCTAATGAAAGTTGAGCATTTAAAATAATTGTTTCTTCACAGTTTATTCACAGAAAATGTACTGGCTCATCCTTGCATCGTTTTGCGTCGGCAATGCCAGGTAAATTCTTTGGGCTATTGTGGACTATTATTCAAATATTTGTTTTGTGTTTCTCTGTTGTAGTTATATAATTAGGACAGCTGGTTCCATGCATATTTAATATTAGATTTTTATAATTTTTTTGATTTTAAAAATGTATTTCTTCCTTTTGTAAAATAGAAAAGAGGTACAAGGGGTATCAAAAGATTGTGAAGTTAGTTTAGCATGGCAAAATATTCATACAGCCAAATAACTCACATTTCTACATCAAGTATTGTAAATAAATTGTTTTACTGCTCTATCTGAACCACTTAGTAAAATAGAACTGAATTTTCCATTTTAGATAGCTGGAATAGCTTTACCCTAAGTTCATCTTTTATATTACTCCTAGTTTAAAATTTATTTAATAATTCAGATCTACTATTTTATATATTTTAATGAATAGATAAATTGAGATAGCATCCTCCTTTTTTCCAAAATTATGAATTTGTCAAAATCTTTATCAGTGTAGCCAATCTTAAGGTAAAATACTTAAGGAAATTCATTCAAGCTGTACAAATCTTTTGAAATAAGTATTTCGGAAACTCTGGGAACACATAAAAACCTCTCCTTGAATCAGTACACCATTGATAACTTTACAGCTTCATGAAATTGCTTCATAAACCACTGCCAGTTGTTTCCCTATGTCAGGGGTTTTCAAATTTGGCCCTTTTATGACTTGTGGACTTCACCTCCCAGAATTCCTCATCCAGGAGGAATTCTGGGAGTTGAAGTCCACAAGTCATAAAAGGGCCAAATTTGAAGACTCCTGCCCTATGTGGTGCATGTATACCAGCTTTGGACATATATACATATGGAGACATCTCAGAGCAGCTTCCAAAGCAGCAAAACAAGCCTAGGAAAAAACAACAGGAAATTCATGGATTTGAAAAAAGATTCTTCATTCTTTCATGTTCTGAAGCACCTCTTCTGAAAAATCTGCACATTCCTAAAAATCCTCCTCCTAATATTTTGAAGACAGGCATTTTAGTACTTGGATCTGAAGTAGTCAAAGCTGCTGTCCCTGTTGGTGAATCTCTAAAGGAGCTTTTGCCTTTTGCTGGCTTTACTCATAGCCATAATGGCTCAGAAAAGTCCATGTTTTCCTTGAGGCAGTGACATGTGGTCAGGCCCATTTCTGTCTCCTTGATGGCCCATAGTTTCTTCAGTCTGTGCTACTACTATGCAAAACAAGAAAAGATAGATAAAACAATGTGTCAATGCCACTTTTGCACTCTTGGATCCAAAACCTGGAACTTCTAACGTGCAATGAAATATAAATATCGATAAGATTGCACCATTTGTTTTGAATTTATTGTCACTAATATACGGAATTTGATTAGATTTTTGCATGTAGAAGTATTCATACAACATTTAGTACATCTAGAGCTTTAAGAGATCCAGTTCATACACATCATTAAAAATTTGTAATCATGATTTGTCTACACAAAATAAGCAATAGTGATTTAGCACATATATGTGTGTGTATACACACACACACACACACACACACACATATTTTTACACTTGTGTATATATTTTATATTTTCAGGTTAATTATCATGCCAAGAATTATCACCTTACTCCGTTTACAATCATCAACATTATGTATAGCATCAATAAAACACAGGTTAGTACTTACTGTCAGTTGGAGATTATTTATTTATAAAGTTAGCTTACAAATTTTTAAAGAACAATAAATTTGTTATTGTTTTTTTATTTATGTACTGTGATTTTCTCATATATTGTAATAGTATAAAATGGCAATATGTAAAGAGGTTATTACTTGGTAACATTGGCCTTTTCAATACATCCAATATTGAACCAATTATAACTTAAATTTTAGGGCCCCAGAGCTCTTTGGAAAGGAATGGGGAGTACTTTCATTGTCCAGGGTATAGCCCTTGGAGCAGAAGGGATCATCAGTGAATTCACACCCTTGCCAAGGTATAATCGTTTTCTGTCTCATTGTGTTAAATAAAATATTAATAACTGTTCCTATATATATGGGAGCTTCTTTGATTTAATTAGTTATTTTAAAAAATAAGCTACTCTAACAATTGTTTTATGATGAGAAACATGAATAAAGCTATATGGATTAGGATCAGCACTACAAAACAGCATGCTCATATTCTTGGATAAACCAGATTTTTGAGCAAATTATTTTAACATTCTAATAAGAATACAGTATAGCATTGTTATCTATTGTATATTCAGATATAAACTAATAATAATATATGCTGAAATTATATTAGTAGGAATTCTTAAAAAGGATAGACTTTGTTATACAAAATTACCAGTTAATAAGATTTTCTGCTCTATAAGATAAAAATGAATACACATCTTTTCTTATCCTTTTGGGGCTCTATAATTATGCCTTTATAATGCGTCTTTACCTCCATTACCAGTTCTGTATTATTCTTAACATAAGCGTGTCTTATTTTTTTCTTCAGTTTTAATGTAAGTAATGAGATTGTGGAAAGGTCCAATAAGGATTAATAAATAAAACAAAATATAGCATAGGTAATCCCCAACTTACAACCATACATTTAATGACTGTTCAAAGTTACAATGGCACTTGGAAATAGTGACTTGTGACCAATTGTCACACTTATGACTCTTGCAACATCCCCATAATCATGTGCTCAAACTTTGGGTGCTTTACAACTGATATGTAAATGTTTGCATTTTACCCAATACCTTTATTTTTATATTACACGAGTTTTTATATCTCTCAAACAAAACCCAATGTGACAGTAACACTGCTGTGTACATAATTTATTTATTTAGAGTACCGTGGGAAACTGATGCTTCTCCAGTTTAACTTTAGATTATATGTGACTCCTTACTGTAAGCATAGCATAAAGTAATGATTTGCTGTATATTCTAACTGCTGCATGAATAAGAGATCTTTTTAAAAATTTTCAGAGAAATTTCATACAAATGGAATCCCAAGCAAATAGGAGGACATCTGACCCTAAAAGCGTATGTATGATTGATCATACTTTCAAATTAATAACCATACAGGCAAAACAAAAGTGAATTGTAAGCATAATAAGACTCTCTCTATTATAGAATAGCAACATCAATTTGAGCAGGATTATCTGGATTTGTTGGAGTACCAATTCCAGAATTCCCAGTTATAGAAAAATACCATTCTGACTGAAAATTCTGAAAGATAATCCAACATTGTGAATGGATCAATTTGTGGAAAATTCTTGAGACTTTCAGGTTGTAGAATTTTTTTAATACTAAAATCTGTTTTCCTCATTTTATTCTGATGATTTCCTTGAATAGATGCACACACACACACACAAATGCAACATAGTTGAATTCTCATTTCTTTTTACTTCTTTCCAATTAAAGAATTTAAGTAGCATTCAGAAAATGATATACAATGGTTTTGAAGAAATACAAAATACAAATACTTGTTGACTTACAACGATTCATTCACTGGCCTCTGATTTTTGGCTGTCCCAGTATTCCCATAGTCAAGTGATCGCTGTCTGAGTGCTTGGCCACTGGTTGCCATTTAGGACCAGTTGCAGTACCCCATGATCATGTGAGCATCCTTTATGACATTTCCTAATGTTATGAAGCAATGTGACATCACATTTTTATGACCATATGACTTAGTGACAAAAATTCTAGTTCCAATTCCCCTGGCAATCTGAGGATTACCTGTATGGCTGAAATAGATTAAATCCTAAAGACTTAAGGTAATTCTTGAGTGGGATGTTTGAAATAAAAATATGTGATTGGATTTAGCAAACTGGATTTTGATTATCGAAATAGTAACTGTATTTATTCCTCTAGGTTGACTTGTATGATAGCAATGCCTTTTTATTCAGCAAGTTTGATTGAAACTGTGCAAGTAAGTTTTGTCTTTATGTATATACATATTTGCATATTGTTTTGTATAATTCTAGGGGAATCAAAATTGGAAGTATCATAGCCTTGGAACTGAGCTTTTATATTCTGTTTTATATCTATTGCTTCTGAAGGAAAATAGTTAAAATTTCCAAAATTGTTAGACGCACCTCAAGATCGGGTTTGATATACTTGTTTTTTAATAGAATAAAATACTTTGTTTCTTTCAGGAGCTCATTCAATTTCTTTAAATCAATTAATTTAATCTCTAATGTGGAAAACATATTAACTATAATGAATAACACGTTTTTTGGAGACTAATGTGGCCCACAGATCAGCAAGTGGTTGCCTTCCTATGTATTGCTTTTCAAAGTGTTTACCACTTGGTGGCACCCTAAGAACTTCATGAGCAATTTTGATCTGCATTGGAAAGATAATAATTGCAGAACTGTGCATTCCAGTCCTCATTTATTGATTTGATTTGATTTCTATAGCCACCCATGTCAGTAAATGACTCTGGACAGCTTTCAATTCAAACACACATTACAGTCAAAAACTAAAAAAACATTTTAAAACAATAAAAACAGTAAAAACATTAAAACCAATAGAGAATGTTAAAATCTAATTTACACATAAGAGCAAGCTATCTGGCTTATTAACAATATAACCAGGAGGAAGGGCACTTGGCTCATGTGGTGCTTCAGGCTTGGGAGAACAGCCAGATTTTACAAAAGCTTTACAAAAGGCTAACAGGGTTGGGCCCATTCTAATCTCTGAAAGGAGGATGTTCCATAGAGTAGGGCGTCCTGCAGAAAAAGCTCACCATTGACATTCTTTGGCTGAAGGGATCTGCAGCATGCCCATTCTGTTTGACCTAGTTGGATAGGTAGAAACTCTGGAAAAAAGGCAATCCTTCCGGTACCCTGGTCCCAAACCACCGCACCTTGAATTGCACCCAGAAACACATTGGTAACCAGAGCAGCTCACACAGAAGTGTTATATGTATCATATATCTGACACCAGTTACTACCTGACGCCCTTGCATTCTGACCACTTGAAGTTTGCTAATGGACTTCAAGAGCACTCCAAATAAAGTGTGTTACAGTATTCTAATCTGGAGGTCACAGGGGTATGAGTTATTGTAAGCAGAGCCTGCCAATCCAGGTATGAGCACAAGGTATGGGCACAAGATCAGCCAAACAGTCACTTGCTGTTTGAGCAGGAGCTGTGGGTCCAGGAGGACCATACCAGATTGCGCACCATATCTGTGTGGGACAGGTCTACCCCATCCAGAACCAGAGTTGAAAGATCCTTATCTCCAGGGGGTCCAAATACCCACAGCTACTCCGTCTTCCAGAGATCTTGAACTTATAGATAAAAAAATAAAGCTGGCAAGTATTGCGTATGTTTGTTAATCATCTAGAACAGTGTTTCTTAACCTTAGCAACTTTAAGATGTGTGAAGTCCACACATGTTAAAGTTGCCAAGGTTAAGAAACACGGTTCTAGAATCCTTCAAACTATGTCTGATCCATTTTACTACTGTTAAGAGATTCACTATAGTCCGTAAAGCATGAGTCACCCAGAAATTAAACTTTTGAATACAGAGAAGACCTAATTTCATATAATTTTCATGGATCAGTTACAGAAGATAATATAAGACAGCCTTCCATAATGTGCAGATGATTGGGAGTGGGTTTGTTTATGTGTGATACGAGATTTTAAAGATTTATAAAGATCGTTTGAGTAAGCCAGCTAGTGCAGGTAGCCTCAACTTATGACCAAAATTGAGCCCAAAATTTCTGTTCTAATCAAGACAGTTGTTAAACTGGTTTTGTCCCATTTTACAACCTTTCTTGCCGCAGTGAATCACTCCTGTTGTTAAATTATTAACACAGTTGTTAAGTGAATCTGGCTTCCCCAGTGACTTTGCTTGTCAGAAGGTCACAAAAGGTGATCACATAACCCCCAGGACCCTGCAATGATAAATATGAGCCAGTTGTCAGGCTTCCAAATTTTGATCACATAAACGGGGATGCTGCCATGGTTGTAAGTGTGAAAAATGGTCATAAGTGACTTTTTTCGGTGCCATTGTAATTTTGAATGGTCACTAAATGTATGGTTGTAAGTTAAGGACTATCTATACTGCTAGTTTGCTATTGAATTGCACGTCACAGTACAGTATGAAAACAAGCTTATTCATTTTGTTTTGTCCCAAAGAAGCATCTACTTAATCTACTAAGCTTGAAATACCTGAAGCATAATTAAAGATAAATATCATAATCGCCCAAGGATGGCATAATATAAAGCAGCCTACCCCTTTTTGAAAAGAAGTTTTAAAAAATAATTTCATAAGCTATAGGGCAACCATTTGGCATAATATTTAAATCATGGATGTCCAACCTTTGGGCTTGCCTAGGCCACACTGAGTGAAGAGGAATTGTCTTGGGCTGCATATAAAGTATATAATATAGTTAATGTATATAAAGCATGCAATAATGTTAAAAGTTTAAAATCTTGTGGAGCCACATTATAGGTCTCCAAGGTTGCCTGCAGCTTCTGGGCCGTGGGTTGGATACACCTTTAAATCAAAGCCTATTCAACCTGAAATACAATAGGTTTGAAATCTAATAGGTTCTATAGAAGTCTATTTCTCTGAATAAGTTTAAACTAGTCACAGTAATCATAAATTCTGGGTATTTAGTTGAAATACTGTGTTCTCTTACAGAGTGAAATCATTCGGGATAATCCTGGAATTTTGGATTGCCTGAAAGAGGGCATAGGCAGAGCAATGGGCTTTGGAATTCCCCATAGCAAGCGGCTACTCCCTCTATTGGCATTGACCTTTCCAACAGTTCTGCATGGAGTTCTTCATTACATAATCAGCTCGGCAGTCCAGAAACTGGTCCTCTTCTTCCTAAAGAAAGAGAATTCTCCAAGCTTCCCAGCTGAGAACTCTAATTCTGTACAAAACATGTTGGATGCTTATTTTCCTGAACTTATTGCAAGCTTTGCTGCCAGTCTTTGTGCAGATGTTATGCTTTATCCACTGGAGACAGTTTTGCATCGCCTTCATATTCAAGGGACACGCACCATCATTGACAATACAGACCTCGGATATGAAGTTCTCCCCATCAATACACAGTATGAAGGGATGAGAGACTGTATCAATAGTATAAAACGTGAAGAGGGAATGTTGGGGTTTTACAAAGGTTTTGGGGCTGTAATTGTACAGTACACGCTGCATGTAGCTGTACTACAGCTTACAAAAGTTCTTTACTCCACACTGCTTCAGAACATTTCTTAATAACTAGTGGACATGGCCATTTAGTTGGCTACATTTTCAGAAAATAAGTACAGTAGTGAAATCTGAAATATTAAATATATAGTAATGGTTCCTTCATAAAAAAAACAAAGGCAAATGTTTCCTTTACACAGGCTATGGTAAGAGGAAATTGAAATGTGTAGATCAACACAGGCTTTTAAAATATTGAAATGTAAATAAAATATTAGAAGGCATTTTATATATCTGTGCAGAGTTGTGATTTTCAGAATGATGACAGATAGTAGATACAATTTCACTGGCAATTTCTGCTGCATAACTCTTATAAATAAATTATAGCTACATAGAAATAAAGCTGTGTCCTGTTTAAAGCCTTGTCTCTTCTTAGAGAGACCTACACTGAAGATTGTTAATGTGAAATTAATTTGGCAGTCTTGGAGTAAATTGAGAAAGCTATGTACTTCGTCAGTTTTGTTGAAGGATTATTGCTAATATCAATAGTACAAATGTGAACAGCATTTTTACACACTGTAGTCTTGTTTTACAGAGTACTTTTTTCCCCATATTGTGTTGATTAAACAGTATGTGGTACTCCCCAAAAAATCAAAGCCGAAAATTGTTCCATAAAAGGAAACTGGTTGAAATCGTTCTACTTAATTGCTGAGAAGAATATTTGTTATAGTTGGCACTACTAGAATTGTTCATACAGTATTGGAATTCTGCCTCACCACAATATGAGCTCTCAGAAGAATGTCATAAGTGGATATTAGTTTAGCTGTGTACCTTCCCTAAGACAACATCAAAATACATTCCAGTGCAGGTTAGTTAAATTCAGTTAAAGTGAATATATTCCAAATAAATATAAGTCATTTATATATAACATATGTAACATATGACAAACATAAGATCTGTCATATATAACAAAACAAGGAATGTTTTGTTGATAATTGTCTCAGCACAATATCATAGCTTTTCATTAGAGCTATTATTAATTTGAAATACCCCATTTCAAATGTGAAACAGGTAGGAAATATTTTAAGCTTGAAGCACAGAGATTTAAACTCAGAATAGTGCTGTTTTAAATTAAGAACAGAAATGCTTCAAAACACTTCAAAAGTGATCAAAATAACCCGCTTTCTACTTGACAGTTTTACACTAAAATAGCATTTTGAATTCAAATGGGTTGAACTGGAAATAGTTGCACATCGCTAATTGTTTTCAAATTTTAGACCAAAGTAGAAGAGAGGTTGCTTTCAGTATTGCTGATATTTTTTCAAGAATTGAATTGAAATTCATCTAGGAAATCTGGCTGAATTTGGTGATCTTTATATTTCCCAACCACAGCATATATTGTAATTTTAGCTATTTAAATCCTTGCTTATTTTTTTTTCTGGAATAGCTGGGGGTAGAGCAGAATTCTTTTACCTATCCGTATAGTATACAACTCTGGACTGCAGTCCATAGTATGTTCCCTTTTAAAATGACCTAATTTTATTTCAAAACCTAATACATTAGATATCTATTTGCTTCTATGTCCGGGCTTGATCTAATGGAAAATGTACAAAGATGTATTTTACAATGCATAAGTGCTTTGGAAAAGTTCCTGTCCCTTCCAGCAATCAATGTGTGGTAAAATACTATGTGTGTCTTATGATTTTACAAAACAATATTTCAGTTCAAACTTTATGTACAAAATTCTAATTTATGGGATATGTCTACTAAATACACTCATGAATTATGGAGCACTTCAAATAATTTTTGAAAAGAAATTGAAATGGAACAAGTTAACCTTATTAATTAATTTTGTAGTTATCAAAGAATTGGTGTGAGAATTGAAGACATCAGGCAATTTCTCTTGTATCTGGACTGTTTTGCCAAAATAAATGTTCCAAACAAATGAATTGAGAAGAGGGTAACAGTAACACATTTCAGCTTTTCAATGTATCTCATAGATGTAATTTTTTCACAATGCTTCTGCTAGGTTGAATGCTAGTATCCTAAAGGAATTGTACACTTTGTAAGCTTTAATAAAGCTGTAAATTGTGCTGTGATGAACTTGTGGATCCTCACTTTACAAAATATGTTTCTCAGAATTCTGGAGAAAATTTAAATAAAAATTAATACAAATTTTGTTTGACATATTGGAAAAATATTTGGTTATGTGTACAATAAAGTATCACTTTACATATTATGCAGTTGATGCATGTGCTATCTGTGTAACAAACTATAGCAAATTAATTTGGAAATGGTGTACACAGATTTTTAAAAATTAAGCTCTGTGTCAACTTTAGTGTATTACTATAAGCAAAAAGGTGAGGTTTGGGGAGTCTTGTTCATTATTAGTCAAGTAATTTTTAAAAGACTTTTAAAACATGCTGAAAATAGAAGTATTATCATCTCAAAGGAACTTGGTATTGAACATTTTTATACAATAAGAGATAAAATGCCATCCTTGGTGCTACAAAGAAATCTTTAATGCAGTAATATGTTCTAAGGCACTACTACGGCTAAATTTCTTAGAAAATGCTGGCTTCCTAGTTACTATAATTACTTTCTGTGCGCTTAATGCAAACAGCTGGGAAAAACAAAGGGAAAAAAATACTAAAATATGCTATGATGCATTTTCCTAACTTTACTAGTCTTTAATAATATGTCCAAAATATAGTAATTATTTGTGCCTCAACTGACAAAATTTGTTCTTTGAACCATGGAGTTGGCTATCCTGGTGCTGTCAGAAATTTTCTGCAGCATATTTTGAAAGCGTCAATATACTTTCTATCCTTCAAAACTCAACTTTCAGTTCCATACACTGTCATAGGGGAAATCATTGTCTACACAATTCTGATCTTTGTAGCTACAAACAATCATGCATCTGAGTATCTTTTCCAAGGCTTTCATTATTTCTCTAGTGCTAGTATGGCATATTTATTGACTGCTGGTTTTCTTACTTCAATGACTTCATTGTCAAATTTTGCTGCATTATAAACCTTATTCTATATTAGTATCATTTTATGCAGAATAATATTAATACAATTTTAACTTTGGCTGAGCCTTAGGGATATGAATTTCAGCCATAAAATGCCTATATCAATTCTACATATAAAAATACTACTGTGTTTACTTATTTCTTTGAGAAATGGCAACTTGTAGTTATGTATCAGAATTTAATTTATTTACAGGAGGACCTTCCTATAACTAAAATTCATTATTCCGCAACCTATTTTCTGGAATGATAAAGAACAAATATCTATGTGACAATTTTCTGTTATTTTCAATCTTATTTTCTTTCAGCCTTCTCAGGCTAAATTAACCTACTACATTCAGTAAGTTTTCATAAAGATTTAACTTTTAGCCCACTAACTACCTATAATGATATGTAAGAATGACCTTGAGAGATGGGGAGAGGCCACAGCCAAGGGGATGATGGGATAAGAGGGAACTTAGCTTGCAGAAGCAATGAGGGCATGGCAAATATCTCAGAAGAGATCCTTTCTAGTGTCTTAGGCTTTAAAGGCTGAGAAATACACTTTCAGATTTGCAAGATTTGATTAATGTCACTTTACAATAAAGTAAAATTAGTTAATCTGGGCATGCTTTCTGTTTGGACTGCTTTGCAAGGCCAACAGCACTCTTAGCACCCATCTCTGCACTTGCTTCGATTCCATTTGTGTTCCATTCCCTTTTAAATTATCAGAACTGTACACTATACTCAAAGTATGCTCAGACCAATAAGAAACAAAGTACTACTTTATGAGATTTCAAGATTAAACTTCTGTTAATGAAGCATACAATTAAATTTGTCTTTTTTGCAACTATCACTTAGGTCACTCATATTTGGTTTGTAATCAATTACAATTCTAAGTCCCTTTTCACAAATATTGTTGCCAAACCAAACATTTCCCACACTAGGTAATATTTCTTTTGTTTATATAAAATATTGCTGTCTCTGTTAAATTTAATTATAAGATTCAACACATTTATATAAACTACCAATTTAATTGTACATTTTATTTCTGATGTCTAATGTATTAGGTATCCCCCTAGGCAAATAAATAAACCTCTCTAATATTGACATGGGCCAGAAAAAGGGAATCTCCCAGTATTACTATCTATCCTGAGTTCTGACCTTCCTTCAAAGAGTCACCGACGATGATTACTAACCTGTAGGAAGCCACAATCCTGGTAAAATACAGGTACTTAAAATTAAAACCTTGATAAAACAATCCTGTTTGCTAAAAGTTTTCTTAGCAACATTTTCTTTTGTCTTCTTCCCAGAACTAAGAGGGAGTCACTGGCATGTCACCCAGCTGGCTTTGTGCCTAAGGTGGGACAAGAATTCTCTATCTTAGATATCTCACTTAGTGTTTTTAAGTACCACACCAAACCAGCTCACACTTCCCTTAAAATTAAGAACTTCTGGGAATTATACAGTTTTTATTCCTAAGCAAAGTCTTTGTGTAGCATTCTTTTTTCTGGAACAAATAATTGTAGTAGTTTTTGGGGGTGTGTTTCCTTTTTGAGTCATACATCAAATGTTGGCTAAAAATAACATAAATGAAAACTTTAAAAAAAATTCTTACATTAGATTTAATGCATAAACAAAGGAAAACCATCACACATTAAAAAAATATGAGGAGGCAGGGGGGGAAAAGAAATAAAACCCATCCCCTATCCTTTTGCATAGAGCAGGGCCACTTGGATGATGTCAGCACTCTGTCCATTAAGGCTGTTGATAGCCTTACTGACCCTGAGATACTTAAAGATAGCTCACTGCTGATCAATTTTTTGACAAGATCCTCCTAAATGCTGTCATGAAAAATGATGATTTAGGTTTTGTTGGGATGAAATAATTCACCAGTTTCCTGTTCCAATAGCTGTGTCCATCAAAAATGTGACCTGCTGACTTTTACATACGTACAGTACTTCATATGGATTATTATAAGTAGGTCTCCCCAGTTTTCTCAGAACTTTAGCTACCATGTTTTCCTGAAAATAAGACCCAATGGGAAAATAAGCACTAAAATGATTTTTCAGAATGCTCACAATATAAGCCCCACCCCAAAAATAAGCCCCAGTTAAGATTGTCAGCCAGAAAGATGCATTTAGTAAGGTATTTCCAATAATAATAACAATAACAACAACTACAACTGGTGTGGTAGCTGATGCAGTACAACAGCATCTAGTTGAAAACAATCTCTTTCCACCTGAGGAGAAAGGAAACCGCCCCAATAGCAGAGGAACAAAATATCAACTCCTAATGGTCAAAATGATCTTGGAAAACTGCAAGAAAAGGAAGACCAACCTGAATGTAGCATGGATTGACTACAAAAAGGCATTTGACTCTCTGCCACATGACTGGATAATCAAGTGCCTAGAAATAACAGGAATCAGTAGAAATATCAGAAAAGTTGTGCAAAGATTGATGGCACAATGGAAGACACAGTTGCAGGTTAATGGTGAGAAACTGGGAGAGGTTAACATCAAGAGAGGAATATTTCAACGAGATTCATTATCACCATTACTATTTGTTATTGCACTGTTTCCTCTGTCAATAATATTGAATAACTCAGGATATGGCTATCAAACATCAAAAACAACCCAAAACAACTGGAGCACCAGTTGAATACCATTGGCATTGACAAATTCGCCGTTAGTCGATTGCAAAAGGCGGCCTTACTAGGAACTGCTTCCATCCTGCAACGATATCTGTAATATCATCAAACATCCACATCTGCCTATCCCAGGTCCTAGGTAAGGACTCGATAGGTAGACAAAAATGCCAAATCCAGTCTGAACATCTGGCTGACTGTGCAATGATCATCAATAACAATAATAATAGTTGGGACTTTGGAGGTCTTCTAGTCCAACCCCCTGCTCAGGCAGGAAACCCTATACCATTTCAGACAAATGGCCGTCCAGTCTCTTCTTAAAAACTTCCAGTGTTGGAGCATTCACAGCTTCTGGAGGCAGGTTGTTCCACTGATTAATTGTTCTAACTGTCAGGAAATTTCTCCTTAGTTCTAAGTTGCTTCTCTCTTTGGTTAGTTTCCATCCATTGCTTCTTGTCTTGCCTTCAGGTGCTATAGAGAAATATAAGCCCTAACCAGAAAATAAGCCCTAATGCATCTTTTGGACCAAAAATTAATATAAGACCCGGTCTTATTTTGGGGGAAACATGGGTATTAAAAAGCTATTATAGCTGTTAAGCCATTAAACTATTATTGAACATCTTGATGCATTGTGGAACTCCAAAAATGAAAGCATAATTAATGCCCAGTCAATATCATATAATAAATAATATTTTAACCTAAAGATATATAACAATTAAATAATAACAATTTTATGCTAGTATATGCATAAGGCAATTCAATAAGAAGCAGTGAATAATCTATGAAAATTTAGCACATTATTTCATTCAATGAGGGGGCTATGTTCCAACACCATCACCCATCAGCCAAGAAAAAATTGTGAGGTTGGGATAGAAAAATGTGTCAAAGACAAGCTCTGGGATTTTACCCAAGTAAGTGTATTTCCCAATGCCCAGAGTGTTTGATTTAAGTAATAGATACCTTGATGTGAATTACTAAAAAGTAAAGTCCTTTATTCAAGGGTAGCATTGGTTTATTAATAGCAGCTTGGAATATTATTAAGAAAAAAGGGCACTTCAATTGATTTTTTTGTGTTCAACAATAAAATTTATTTTTATCCTTTTTTCTCTATTTCGTATCTCTATTTCATATATCATCTGGTACTGATCCGTGGCCTGTTAGGAACAGGGCTGCACAGCTGAAGGTGAGTGGCAGGCAAGTGAATGAAATTGAAACCATCTCCCCATCCCAGTACATGGAAAAATTGTCTTCCACGAAAGCGATCCTTGGTGCCAAAAAGATTGGGGACCACTGCCATATAATAAACTTGCCTATATTCTCCCCAAATACCACTAAGCCACATTACTAAAATAAAGAGAAAGATTGGTAAAATTCATAGTAATATCAGGGTGGATCTTATATAATGCCTTAGAAGAACATATATCCTATTATTTCTTTGGGAATGCCAAAGTGACTGATCAGTTCGTGACAGGTTTTCACTATAAATGTGCAGAATGTAATGATTTAGAAAAGAAATGT